GCAGCCGTTTGGTAAAAGCCAAAAAAAAGCGGAGCTCTTTAATGGAGATACATTGTTTGTAAAGTTAGAATTTCCTCCTATTAGTTCAGATTTAACTCATTGAGAGATTAATATAAAACACACAACAGCCTCTCATTAAGATATCAGCAGTAGCTGCAACCCAGTGACAGCAATGGTCTCTTGGCAGTTTTAATTCCAGCCAAATAAAATGCCAACATTGAAATTAAAATGTGATAATGCAACTAGAAGTAACGTGGAAGCATAAGACCCATAATACATATATACTACTGAGTATCATCTAATATTTAACAAGATTCATCACACGATCGATAAGTGAGATTACCGAATCAGAACGTCACCTCCCGAAATGTATTGTCGCTCGGGAGATGCGGAGCTGCTGAAATCACATTTTAGCCTTCTTCATTCATCATGTACTGTTTCTCTTTACGGAAGAACAGGTATGGATTGACCTCACTGAAGATACCGAGTTACTTCACTAGCAAGGACCAGACCGGAGACAGTACCGGGAAAAGTGAGGGAGAAAAGAAACACTCACACCAAGAACCGATATTTATTATTATATACCTATTAGATTAGCAGGAAGTCAATTATCTAGGAAATGTCAGTAATAAAAAATAATTCGATATTAGTTTTATTTAGTGTTTAACGTGAATTCCTTGGAATCCCAGCAGCCACCTGAATGTAATTTGCATAGATGTGGCTTTAGCCATTTGGACATCGTTAGCCATGTTAAAGGAGGGCAGTATAACCTTCGCAGCCGTTTGGTAAAAACCAAAAAAAGCGGAGCTCTTTAATGGAGACACATTATAAAGTTATAAAGTTAGAATTTCCTCTAATTAGTTCAGATTTAACTCGTTGAGAGATTAATACAAAACACACAACAGCCTCTCATTGAAATAGTAGCAGTAACTTCAACCCAGGGACAGTTACGGACTCCTTGCAATTTTAATACCAACCAGAAATTCACGAACATTTGCAACTTAAAACTGCACCCACCATACAGTTATTAACAATAATGTCTTTAATTATTACTTGCAACACTCTATCAATACCTACGATCAATCAGTAAGGACACCAATTCAGAATTTCACCTCCCGAGTTGTGTTGTCGCTCGGAAGATGCGGAGCTGCTGTAATCACACATCAGTCTCCTCCATTCATCACGTACTGTTTCTCCCTGAGGAGGAACAGGTAAGGATCGACCTCACTGACGATGGCGATTATTAGCAAAAAGCAAAGATCAGACCGAAGATAGCACTGATTAAGCTGAGGGTGACAATTAAGATACTATTACTATTATTAACGTACCTTAACTATAATTTGTTATTACTATGCACAGAAAATATATAGTTAATACTAATAATAATCCGGTACAACAAATAATATAAAGGGGAGAGGAAGAAAACATGTTACATCCCATGAAGCAGTGCAAAATGTAATTTACATACCAGAGAGTTAGTGTCGGCCATCTTTGTTTAGGGCAGTGATTAGATTCACAATACACCGCAGTAAGGGCAAAGCTTGTTCATAGCAAACGGGCTCTGGAATGAAGTAATTCCCACGAGCTGCAATAACCAGACATGTTAGGGTTATCGCTGGATAGCTCAGCACAAACAGTCTCTGAAATCATTTATTACCAGGTAAATACTGCAATAACCAGACATGTTAGTACCCATCTTAATAATTCTAATACACACCCACTACTATCCCAATCACACACTACTATCCCAATCACACACTACTATCAGACACACTACTATCCCTATCACTCACACACACACACTACTATCCCTATCACACACTACTATAAGACACACTACTATCCCAATCACACACTACTATCCCTATCACTCACACACACACACTACTATCCCTATTACCCACACACACTACTATCCCTATCACTCACACACACACACTACTATCCCTATTACCCACACACACTACTATCCCTATTACCCACACACACTACTATCCCTATCACACATGCACACTACTATCCCTATCACACATGCACACTACTATCCCTATTACCCACACACACTACTATCCCTATCACTCACACACACACACTACTATCCCTATCACTCACACACACACACTACTATCCCTATCACACATGCACACTACTATCCCTATCACACATGCACACTACTATCCCTATCAGACTTTGGCAGCATGGGGGTGCCCTGATTCTGCACTGCCCACTGAGCTAATAATAATTACATGTTTTGTGTAAATGAGGCCAACTGTCAAGATCACTTTTTGCCTCCTTAACAGACAGCTGTACCCTGACAACACCTACGTCCTGGTTCCCATAACTCCCATACTGGGAGCTATATGTATATGGTATATTATTGCTTTGACATGTTTGTACGTGATTTTGGGAATGTTGTGTAACAGAAAGCCGATATCACATATTCTGCAAGAACTCTGCAATCTGACAACTCTATTATAATCAGTAATACCGGTATATGCTGAGCTATTTGTAGGGATATTTGGTGCCTGTGCGCATTACCGGTATATGCTGAGCTATTTGTAGGGATATTTGGTGCTTGTGTGCATTACGGGTATATGCGGAGCTATTTAGCGGGATATTTGGTGCTTGTGCGCATTACCGGTATATGCTGAGCTATTTAGCGGGATATGTGGTGCTTGTGTGCATTACCGGTATATGCGGAGCTATTTAGCGGGATATGTGGTGCTTGTGTGCATTGCCGGTATATGCGGATCTATTTAGCGGGATATGTGGTGCCTGTGTGCATTGCCGGTATATGCGGAGCTATTTAGCGGGATATTTGGTGCCTGTGCGCATTACCGGTATATGCGGAGCTATTTAGCGGGATATGTGGTGCCTGTGCGCATTACCGGTATATGCGGAGCTATTTAGCGGGATATGTGGTGCTTGTGCGCATTACCGGTATATGCGGATCTATTTAGCGGGATATGTGGTGCCTGTGTGCATTACCGGTATATGCGGAACTATTTAGCGGGATATGTGGTGCCTGTGCGCATTACCGGTATATGCGGAGCTATTTAGCGGGATATTTGGTGCCTGTGCGCATTACCGGTATATGCGGAGCTATTTAGCGGATATGTGGTGCCTGTGCGCATTACCGGTATATGCGGAGCTATTTCGCAGGATATGTGGTGCCTGTGCGCATTACCGGTATATGCGGAGCTATTTAGCGAGGAATAATATGGTTTTATATGCGCATTACGGTATATCTCGCGGGCTTATTTGCCGGGGATATGTGGTGCCTGTCGCGCCCGGTATATCTTGAAGACTATTTCGCAGGATATGTGGTGCCTGTGCGCATTACCGGTATATGCGGAGCTATTTAGCGGGATATTTGGTGCCTGTGCGCATTACCGGTATATGCGGAGCTATTTAGCGGGATATGTGGTGCCTGTGCGCATTACCGGTATATGCGGAGCTATTTAGCGGGATATTTGGTGCCTGTGCGCATTACCGGTATATGCTGAGCTATTTAGCGGGATATGTGGTGCCTGTGCGCATTACCGGTATATGCGGAGCTATTTCGCGGGATATTTGGTGCCTGTGCGCATTACCGGTATATGCGGAGCTATTTCGCGGGATATGTGGTGCCTGTGCGCATTACCGGTATATGCGGAGCTATTTCGCGGGATATTTGGTGCTTGTGCGCATTACCGGTATATGCGGAGCTATTTCGCGGGATATGTGGTGCCTGTGCGCATTACCGGTATATGCGGAGCTATTTCGCGGGATATTTGGTGCTTGTGCGCATTACCGGTATATGCTGAGCTATTTAGCGGGATATTTGGTGCTTGTGCGCATTACCGGTATATGCGGAGCTATTTAGCGGGATATTTGGTGCTTGTGCGCATTACCGGTATATGCGGAGCTATTTAGCGGGATATTTGGTGCTTGTGCGCATTACCGGTATATGCGGAGCTATTTCGCGGGATATGTGGTGCCTGTGCGCATTACCGGTATATGCGGAGCTATTTGTAGGGATATTTGGTGCTTGTGTGCATTACGGGTATATGCGGAGCTATTTAGCGGGATATGTGGTGCTTGTGCGCATTACCGGTATATGCGGAGCTATTTAGCGGGATATGTGGTGCTTGTGTGCATTGCCGGTATATGCGGAGCTATTTAGCGGGATATGTGGTGCTTGTGTGCATTACCGGTATATGCGGAGCTATTTAGCGGGATATGTGGTGCCTGTGTGCATTACCGGTATATGCGGAGCTATTTGTAGGGATATTTGGTGCTTGTGCGCATTACCGGTATATGCGGAGCTATTTCGCGGGATATGTGGTGCCTGTGTGCATTACCGGTATATGCGGAGCTATTTGTAGGGATATTTGGTGCTTGTGCGCATTACCGGTATATGCGGAGCTATTTAGCGGGATATGTGGTGCCTGTGCGCATTACCGGTATATGCGGAGCTATTTAGCGGGATATGTGGTGCTTGTGCGCATTACCGGTATATGCGGATCTATTTAGCGGGATATGTGGTGCCTGTGTGCATTACCGGTATATGCGGAACTATTTAGCGGGATATGTGGTGCCTGTGCGCATTACCGGTATATGCGGAGCTATTTAGCGGGATATTTGGTGCCTGTGCGCATTACCGGTATATGCGGAGCTATTTAGCGGGATATGTGGTGCTTGTGCGCATTACCGGTATATGCGATATAGCGGGAGCTATTTAGCGGGATATTTGGTGCCTGTGCGCATTACCGGTATATGCTGAGCCATTTGTAGGATATTTGGTGCCTGCGCATACCGGTATGGCGGAGCCATTTAGCGGATATTTGGTGCCCAGCGATTACCGTATATGGAGCTATTTAGCGGGATATTTGGTGCCTGTGTGCATTACCGGTATATGCGGAGCTATTTAGCGGGATATGTGGTGCTTGTGCGCATTACGGGTATATGCGGAGCTATTTAGCGGGATATGTGGTGCCTGTGCGCATTACCGGTATATGCTGAGCTATTTAGCGGGATATTTGGTGCCTGTGTGCATTACCGGTATATGCGGAGCTATTTAGCGGGATATGTGGTGCTTGTGCGCATTACGGGTATATGCGGAGCTATTTAGCGGGATATGTGGTGCCTGTGCGCATTACCGGTATATGCTGAGCTATTTGTAGGGATATTTGGTGCCTGTGCGCATTACCGGTATATGCGGAGCTATTTAGCGGGATATTTGGTGCTTGTGTGCATTACCGGTATATGCGGAGCTATTTAGCGGGATATGTGGTGCTTGTGTGCATTACCGGTATATGCGGAGCTATTTAGCGGGATATGTGGTGCTTGTGTGCATTGCCGGTATATGCGGATCTATTTAGCGGGATATGTGGTGCCTGTGTGCATTGCCGGTATATGCGGAGCTATTTAGCGGGATATTTGGTGCCTGTGCGCATTACCGGTATATGCGGAGCTATTTAGCGGGATATGTGGTGCCTGTGCGCATTACCGGTATATGCGGAGCTATTTAGCGGGATATGTGGTGCTTGTGCGCATTACCGGTATATGCGGATCTATTTAGCGGGATATGTGGTGCCTGTGTGCATTACCGGTATATGCGGAACTATTTAGCGGGATATGTGGTGCCTGTGCGCATTACCGGTATATGCGGAGCTATTTAGCGGGATATTTGGTGCCTGTGCGCATTACCGGTATATGCGGAGCTATTTAGCGGATATGTGGTGCCTGTGCGCATTACCGGTATATGCGGAGCTATTTCGCAGGATATGTGGTGCCTGTGCGCATTACCGGTATATGCGGAGCTATTTAGCGGGATATGTGGTGCCTGTGCGCATTACCGGTATATGCGGAGCTATTTAGCGGGATATGTGGTGCCTGTGCGCATTACCGGTATATGCGGAGCTATTTAGCGGAATATGTGGTGCCTGTGCGCATTACCGGTATATGCGGAGCTATTTCGCGGGATATGTGGTGCCTGTGCGCATTACCGGTATATGCGGAGCTATTTCGCGGGATATGTGGTGCCTGTGCGCATTACCGGTATATGCGGAGCTATTTCGCGGGATATGTGGTGCCTGTGCGCATTACCGGTATATGCGGAGCTATTTAGCGGGATATTTGGTGCTTGTGCGCATTACCGGTATATGCGGAGCTATTTAGCGGGATATTTGGTGTGCTTGTGCGCATTACCGGTATATGCGGAGCTATTTAGCGGATATGTGGTGCCTGTGTGCATTACCGGTATATGCGGAGCTATTTCGCAGGATATGTGGTGCCTGTGCGCATTACCGGTATATGCGGAGCTATTTCGCAGGATATGTGGTGCCTGTGCGCATTACCGGTATATGCGGAGCTATTTAGCGGGATATTTGGTGCCTGTGCGCATTACCGGTATATGCGGAGCTATTTAGCGGATATGTGGTGCCTGTGCGCATTACCGGTATATGCGGAGCTATTTCGCAGGATATGTGGTGCCTGTGCGCATTACCGGTATATGCGGAGCTATTTCGCGGGATATGTGGTGCTTGTGCGCATTACCGGTATATGCGGAGCTATTTAGCGGGATATTTGGTGCTTGTGCGCATTACCGGTATATGCGGAGCTATTTAGCGGGATATTTGGTGCTTGTGCGCATTACCGGTATATGCGGAGCTATTTCGCGGGATATGTGGTGCCTGTGCGCATTACCGGTATATGCGGAGCTATTTCGCGGGATATTTGGTGCTTGTGCGCATTACCGGTATATGCTGAGCTATTTCGCGGGATATTTGGTGCTTGTGTGCATTACCGTTATATGCGGAGCTATTTAGCGGGATATTTGGTGCTTGTGCGCATTACCGGTATATGCTGAGCTATTTCGCGGGATATGTGGTGCTTGTGCGCATTACCGGTATATGCGGAGCTATTTCGCGGGATATTTGGTGCTTGTGCGCATTACCGGTATATGCTGAGCTATTTAGCGGGATATTTGGTGCTTGTGCGCATTACCGGTATATGCGGAGCTATTTCGCGGGATATGTGGTGCCTGTGCGCATTACCGGTATATGCGGAGCTATTTCGCGGGATATTTGGTGCTTGTGCGCATTACCGGTATATGCGGAGCTATTTCGCGGGATATTTGGTGCTTGTGTGCATTACCGGTATATGCGGAGCTATTTAGCAGGATATTTGGTGCTTGTGTGCATTACCGGTATATGCTGAGCTATTTAGCGGGATATTTGGTGCTTGTGCGCATTACCGGTATATGCGGAGCTATTTAGCGGGATATTTGGTGCTTGTGCGCATTATATAATTCTTTAACTGCCTTAATTGTATCTAACATATAGGAATGTACTTATTTATTTATTATTGCGCCAATCGATTCCGTAATGATTTACAATATTATGACATGTTACTCTTTGTGGACAGTATAGTTATAGTGTATATCACATGGTAAGCTCCCAGCCGGTTGTTTTAACACACAGTAAAGCGATGCGTTATACTTTACATGTAAACTTGTTAACTCAAGTGCTGGGTTTTTTCTCTCCTGTTGTTGCAGTGTCTAAATATTTATCCAATTTCTATAATTACCAATGTTATTTTTGCATAAATTGTACAGTGCTAGAGAATCTGATGGCGCTATATAAATAATAAAATAATACGTACTCTGGATCTATATAAAAACTGTGAAATAAATATTACTCCGGAATAGGCACGCTGGTTTTAGAGTATTTTGCTTCCAGTAGATATGGGAGCTGAGATCACTGAATTAGAGCTGTTTTACCTCCTGTGCTCCGTCTGTTATTGGATTCTGAGCTACAAACAGGAGATGTCACTGCGAGGGATGTGACGACAAAGCATGACTCCAGTAATCACATGAGTCAATGCTGCAGAGGCATAGGGTCAAAGCATGCATTCAACAGAGGTGTGCCTGATTTGCATACCCACAATGCATTGCAAAGAATCATGCACTTTTTTTTATTATTTATTAAAAAAAAAAAGTATGTATGTGTTTAAGAGTTAATATCCATGTGTGGTGTGTGAGTATTAATCAACTATACTGGGTTCTACAAGATACACTTATATTTTGGATTGGTCTCCACATTTTTAAAAGGGGATGTCTGAACCCAGACAGCTACTGAGGGGGGCAAATAGTATACTCTGGTTTCTCTTCAGACCGAATAAATCTTTCGCCTTTTACTAAAGATTTCCGTGGAGAGGAACAACCATGAGTTTCACTCAATTTTTTGAGGCCTGATGTATGTCAGGCTAACAACCTCGGTTTAAAGATAGTTATTAATTAAATGTTGCTTTACTAAGAAGTATTTTGGAGTGCGTTGTAGATCAATTGGTTGCATTGTCGTAATCAATTAATAACATGTTGGAATTAAATTGTCTTTAATATTATTAGTATTACATAAAAGTGAACTTTAAAATTTATCAGGTGGGGTTTTTTTTTTATTGTTATATTGTGAACATTTAATTATTTAACCATTAAAGCAGGTAGGACTTTGCAATTATTTATTTTGAGCTTTACTGTAGGAATGTGTATGTACTGTACTGTAATGCTGCTGTGTATGGGCAATATTGTGGCTTTAAAGACTTACTAGTTTCAATCCATTTCTATTGGATTGATGAACAGCATGCTGGCTGTGGGCATGCCTAATTTACATACCCACAATGCATTGCAAAAATCATGCACATTTCATTTAGCCATTAAAATAATGGTTTTAAGAGATATCGCCCAAATGTTGTGTATATACTAGTAATTCATTATACTGGATTGTCCAAGTTACAGCCTCATTTACTGTCGGTCTCCATACAGTTAAAAGTACAAGTCTCAGACATGTTTAGATTTCCTCCCCCAGTATTTCATGGTTCCATGTATCTGTCTGATGAGTGCTGTATCTACATTTAAGCTTTTTCATAGTGTAATACTGAATCAGTATGTGAAACTACTCCATCACAATATATAGTTAAATACTTTCAAGCTAATAAACCATTTATGCATTGTAGCACAGCACATTCCTGCAGTATAGCACAGAAGAAAGTGACATAATGCTGCTACGGCGCTCTACTGGTTAAATAGCTTTATTATTATTTTTATAGCACCAACAAATTCAGCAGCGCTGCACAATGGGATTAGTGTCTGCATGCAGATTTAATAGGACACTCGTAAAATGATCAGTAATACAATTCTGAACCTTTTATAAAGAAAATAAAAATGAAACTACGATTTACTCTTGGTGGTAATAATATAGGACAAAACTCTACAAACCTCACTGCAGAACAAAGTCACAGATCTGTAAAGATTACTATCTATTATTTAGCAATGTCTATTTTTAAACCAAAGCAATCAGCCTGACATAAGTCAGGCCTCAAAAAATTAAGTGAAACTCATGGTTGTTCCTCTCCACGGAAATCTTTAGTAAAAGGCGAAAGATTTATTCGGTCTGAAGAGAAACCAGAGTATGCTATTTGCTTCTATCAGTAGCTGGCTGGGTTCAGACATCCCCTTTTAATAAAGTGGAGACCAATGTGAAATGAAAGTGTATCTTATAGAATCCAATATAGTTAATACTCACACATCGATATTAACTCTTAAACACATACATCTTTTCTTTTTTTTTTTTTATATAAGTTAAAATGTGCATGATTCCGTGCAATGCATTGTGGGTATGCAAATTAAGCATGCTGCCAGAGGCTTTGTCTGTCAGTACAGCCCTGCAGCCATTAACAGAGTGAGTGCTGGAGTCCTACTTTGTCCTCACATCGCTTGGAGCGACATTTCCTGTCTGTAACTCAAAACCCAATAACAGATCAAATGCACAAGAAAAAGAAAGAATAAAAAATAAAAAAAAACAGATCTAATTCAGCGGAAATCTGCTCCTGTTACTCTAATACCAATCTGATCGACCTTGAAGCGTGATAGGGTGATAGATCTGTAGGGTTAAGAAGAGTATATCACAGTGCTAAACTAGCATTTAAGGATTTAAATTACTCTGAAAACACGGATTAACAAACAGAAATTCATGCCAGTCTGTTTCAGGAAGCAGTTAAAGAGCTACGCACTGATATTCTATTCTCCTCCCCTCCCCTCTAAAATAAGACAGATATAACCTTCCTGCCTGAATCTAAGGATTACTGAACATGGCTAACCAAATAAACACTAATAACGATAAAAGATAGACCAGGTTTAGCACTAATCAACCAGATAAGGCAGGGATGCAGACCAAAAAAAGGGGGATCCCTCCAACCCTTATCAGAATCAACAGAAAAAAACCAGAGGTTGCGGTTGTGGTGAAACGAATTACTACAAGGCTGACAGATTGCCGGGCTTATGTGCAGAACACGTTTTAAAATGTATTTATTGAAGCCGCAGAGCACAGCATTTTCTATGTTCTTGCAGTCATAATGTTTGAACAAAGACAAACTTTGCTAGATGTCCTTGCTTTAGGAGCTAGGTGCCCCGTCCTTGGGAGCTCTGCGCCTTGGTGATTCAAAGCTTAATCCTTAGTCCCCTATCAGACAGCGCCATGTAAGCGGCTTTTAGGGACTGAGGTCCCAGTGTGTGCCGGAGCTGATAAAAGGGATGATTAGAAAAGTCTAACTCAGGCTTCCCCAAACTCCGGCCCTCCAGATGTTGCTGAATTACAACTGCCATGATTCTAGGAAATGAAATAGATAAGCTGAGAATCATGGGAGTTGTAGTTCAGCAACATCTGGAGTAACTCCACATTATATATAATGTGATTTGCTTCCTTCACACACTGTGGCATAAAGTTTGTATGATATTTTTGGTTTCATCCCATTTCCTGTCTTATTTGGAAGCGTAACATGTTCATTGTACAAGTATTGCTTCCTTCTTTCTATCCTTGGTGCGTGGGTAAAAGTGTGGGATGCTGGAGGGGTGCCACTGAAGGCATAGATTAGGATTGTAGTTACCTACTTCACTGTATCCCCTGCTCTTCCCATACCCCACCTATGTGTATCCATGTTTTCTATGTGATGTGTATCTATTGTTTTGACATTTGTAACGTTGTGTCTCTTTTCTTTTCTGACTCAGTGTGTAGGACACTTTGTATACACGAATTACAAGGTGGAATTTAAAGGATCACTATAGTGTACGAAAAACAAACTCGTTTTCCTGACACTATATAACCCTTAGGTCCCCCTACTCTTATGGCCCCCTCCCGCTGTGCTGAAGGGGTTAAAACCCCTTCAGCCTCTAACCTTAACCTTAATCCAGCACCGGACTCCCTCAGCGCTGGTGACCTCTCCTCCCACTCCAACGTCAGCTCCCAAGTGGGGCTGAATGCGCATGCGCATTAAAAACGCCCACTGGAAAGCATTTCTCAATTGAGCTGAAGTGGTCTGGGTGACTATAGTGGTCCTTTAAGTCAGACAGGAGTCTACATAGAAAACAATTGTGTCCATTATACGTTTGATATTACTGACACATGAATCTTTGGATGGATAATGCCTGTTTAGTGAAGAGATATTAAAACCTTAGTATTTTATACCGACATCTGTAAAGTTTCTACATTCTAGAGACATCTGTTAGGATTTAATATATTATATTATGCATTTGTAGGTGGATTTAATAAAGGTTATATTATTAATTATTGGGCTGATTTCTTTCTTATTTTCAAGCTTTAGGTCTTGTATGCAAGTAGGGGTTTCCTTTTTTTATTTTTATCCATGTAAGAGGCTTGGATCAACAGATAGCGCCTTCGGCTTGTGCAATAGTTGTACCTTACCCGATTTGTCCTCCATGGGGCGCTGGAGGTCTAACAAAGAGGTAGCAGCCAAAAGGCCAGCATGCTACCTCTCCTACAAAAACCTTTGTTTTCAGAATGGATCTTTTAAACATCTCACCCATTGCACACTCTAATTATAACCATACTATTATCACATAAATTAATATTTGCCATCCAAGGTTGGACAGATTTGCTTCACACTGAAACCTTTAGTTGCTGTGTTATCACTGATAAATCAGAGGATGCATGATATGGCTGCCAGGGATATCACCAGTTTTTGTGAAATCACTGTTTTGCCATAAAACAGAGCAGAGGTGTTCACTGACATATTACAATGAGTTATAGTGATCACGGTGCTTTAAAACTGCACCCAATACGCGCCGGCATCACTTTACAGAGAATAGAAAATGGAATCTATAGATCTATACATATACTATCAAATCTGGAGAGAAAAAGGTGATTTAACAGTACACTTACTAATGTGTGAATTGTCATGATCTTACTTCAATTAACTTTTCCATTTTAAGACAAAAAAAAAAACTGAACAATTCCATGACAGCAGTATCACTAAACTTAGAATTGCAGAAAATTCAAATTCAGGGAGAAGACACTAGACCCCCCCACCTCTCCCTCTAATATAATCATTAAGGTCCGCTCCTTATTATACCCCCCCCCCCCTATTATACTCATTAAGGCCCCAACCCACATGTGTGGGGTTGGGGGAAGGACACTATCCAATATGTTATTTTCTAGCAACTGGGTAACAATGTTTACTAGATATGCCCCCACCTGCTGAATGGCACATGGAGATAAAATATATAGCAATATGGAGCTGTTATTGTCCCACATAGGATTTTTATTTACTAAAATGTTTTTGTGTTTGCTATATGCAAATAGCTAGTGAATGGTAATATGCGATTCCAGTGCTGTAGATTGGTTCCGATGAGTTTAGAAAATCACAGATTTACACATCCGAACCAATGTTACAGAATAGGTCGGCCACGACCCCATTTGGGATAAGAATTGCCAAATTCCTACCAGGTAGACCACACAGGGTGATGGCTGATGACATCACCGCTCTGTGCACGGAGTGAAGCAGGAGCCTAACTGTCAGATTCTATCTCAAACTGACCAAAGGTGTATGAATATAGCGTGAGGGATCTAGTATCCTGTGAAAGCACGGACAAGATTTTCAGGTATTTTAACATATACTTCATTTTAAAAATGCTGTATTTTTCCACTGCACGCTACAAGGATTCTATTAATAGCAATATTCTGGTGACAGTTGTCCTTTAAGGCAGCTCTTGCTTCACCTCTGCTGATTGTGCCTCACACAGCCTCCCTACACACTTCCTGAAGGAACAAAAAATAAAATATATATATATTATTTTTTTTTCTAGCTTCTCTTATTGCACACCGTGCTTGTGTGTTTAATTTAGAAGTTATTATCTTTGCTTTGTTAATTCCCTGCAACAGCCACCTGTGTTTAATTAAAGTTAGATTAAACCCTTAAATACCAGGGCTTTATTGAGATACAACACGTTTGTGACCAAGGCCTCTTAGGCATTTTTGCCATGCATTCATTCTACTACAATTCCCTCCTCTCTGTTTAACTGCACCCATATATATTTATATATTATATACTATTTTTAAAGGATGTATATGGCTTTTTTTTCATCCCCTATATGTATACATAATGCTATATTAAATAGGAAAAAAATATTTTTTTAAATGGGGTGGGGGGGGTTTAAAAATTAAACTATTTTCACTTTTACATGCAATAATTTCTACACACCAAGTTCAAGTAAAGAAAAACAAAACAAATACTGCAAGAAATGAATTACAGTTTTAAAGCTAAACCTTTGCAAAATTTGACATGCTGAGATTATAACTGTAATAGTAGTCACATCCCGCAGGCTATGTAATTAAGAGCATTGTGACACTTTTCATTTAACCATTTTATCACAAACCTAGGTTGAATTAGTTAATTTGTTGGGGGTTTTTTTTCATTAATTATTTTGGGGAAATCCACAGACCAAACATGTCTCACTACTGCACAACAGTATTTGCTATTGTTATGAAGTACAATGATACGCCACATGTATACATTTTCCCCTAATCCTGCCAATGACCCAACCCTTAATGCAACCTTTTATGTATTAAGGCACTTAAAGAGAAACCCATACATTACAGTGCAATGTAAATTCAAGGTTTTGTTTTGGTTCAGAATGTGGACGATTGCCTCCGTCCTTAAGGGGTTAAGATGCTAGGGTATTTTGTTACATCTGAACAATTGTAATGATTTTGTACTTTGCATTTGCCACACAAGAAATGCCAGAATTTAAATTATTTAGTATATGTAGAAAACATTTAATAAAGCCAAACAATCCATGTTATAAAAATGCACCATATAAAATTATATCTTAAAAAGTACAGTTGATTGAAAAACAGTTTTTGAAAACCATTAAAAAAACAGCCCTGCCCCCTTGTGTAATACGCTCAATGGGTAATTCACCTAACAGATATGAGTGAATTACTACACAATGCCATCATATAACAAACTGACTGACATTTACAGGGTTATTCACTGATGTATGGATTACCAGGAACTCACAGTGAATTACAAATGTTAGGCCGAATTAGCAGAATCTGAAATACTATGCAATGTAGCTATGTTTTACATTGACCTACAGTTTGAAATTTACTGTGAATTTGTAGCAATCCACACATTGATTAATAATAATGATAATATAGGAACAACAAGATTAAGACATGTTTATTTGCAAAATGTATGTTGTTCATCACATCCCCTTGTAAGCAAGTGACAGGAATTGTGCTTTCTGCCTCCAGCTCCTGCATTGCCAATAATAGATCATTTTCTAATATACATGAATTAAATGTGTTGAAAAAAATATATGTAGTACGATTTATTTTTTTCTGATCATAACAAAGTACCAAGGATTATGTGTTTGTATTTAGAGGAGAAGTGACTGTTAAAGGGACACTATAGTCACCTGAACAACTTTAGCTTATTGCAGCAGTTTTGGTGTATAGAACATGCCCCTGCAGCCTCACTGCTCAATCCTCTGCCATTTAGGAGTTAAATCCCTTTGTTTATGAACCCTAGTCACACCTCCCTGCATGTGACTTGCACAGCCTTCCATAAACACTTCCTGTAAAGAGAGCCCTATTTAGGCTTTCTTTATTGCAAGTTCTGTTTAATTAAGATTTTCTTATCCTCTGCTATGTTAATATCTTGCTAGACCCTGCAAGAGCCTCCTGTATGTGATTAAAGTTCGATTTAGAGATTGAGATACAATTATTTAAGGTAAATTACATCTGTTTGAAAGTGAAACCAGTTTTTTTTTCATGCAGGCTCTGTCAATCATAGCCAGGGGAGGTGTGGCTAGGGCTGCATAAACAGAAACAAAGTGATTTAACTCCTAAATGACAGTGAATTGAGCAGTGAAATTGCAGGGGAATGATCTATATACTAAAACTGCTTTATTTAGCTAAAGTAATTTAGGTGACTATAGTGTTCCTTTAAGTGAGCTCCTCCAGGTGTTATAGTACAAGGCAATCCTGGCCAATCTTGGACATATGGTCAACCAAGTAAGCATGGCTGCTTTAGTCAGTCTGGGCCAACTTGGTGTATATCTGAATCACCAGCTGTCGGCCCAATCGTACACACGTGTATATTATTTTATATTGTCACAAATTTTGCTTTGAATCTAGCTTCTTGAAATCCCTGAGAAGACACTTAAAAGATTGGTCCTGGCTCACAGGCACTGGGACAGGGACCTTTTGGTCATTGGAAAGACGAAGACTTATCTAGCTTCTAAAAAGTCAGGAAGATGAAAAAGTCTCATAGCGGTTTCCGCTTGAAGCCAAGTACAGCGATGAAGACAATTATTTCTGTGAGGGCTGGCAGAACACTGAAAATGGAGAGAACAAAGGGACAAATTAGTGGACAGGAAGAGGCATTGGTCTACCCAACATCGTTACCGGTTTTGTAACCTATAGTGATCCAGTCCCCATTTAGATACTTTTCTTATATCAGCCAGCCACTCTGTGTTTTTCCCTCCCTCATTATGTACCTGCAGAAACCAAAGATATACCAATAGGAGGTGCACTCCCATTTCTGGGAGACAAACAGGGACAAGCTGACAGAGGCTGCACAGTGAACGGCCACCGCTGAGGAGAGGCCCATTAAGGAAATAAACAACCAAATACTGGCTTCTTGTAACAGTATCTAGAGTATCTAGGAGTAAGGGGTAGGAAAGGAAGCAAGACAAAGAGAGGAAAACAAGAGGAAGGAATGAAAATGCACTCATCCTCTAGTGTTTACAACTCACCTGCACAGTGCCATAATCCACCAATACACAGAACAAGACCAGGCCTCAAAAAGGAAGAAAAGGAGGGCAACGCTGGCACTGGCATGAGCTCCCACAGCTTGACCACACATGATATGGTTAGGGAGGTAACAAAATAATTTTTTCTCTCTATGTCTCATCACTCACACAGTCAATAACAGAACATATGTCTCGTTTTCCTCCACTCATTAGTCTCGCAGGCCATGAATAGGATAAACTCTGCTAAGTCTCTCCAACGCACATTTAATCCTCAAATGAAGAACTTTATAGGAAATAATGGTTGCAATACATTAGTAGTCCAGATCAGCTGCAAATTCGGCAGCAACCTGAAGATGTCAGTATATCACCAGAAACAGGAGGAAGATCTTTATAGGAGGGAAATTTGTTAACCAGGGAAACTGCATATATGACGTATAATTTTAGGCAAGCATAGCCTTTTATATCACTACTATTCGATTGTTTGAACTAATTCGAAGTTATTCACAAACTGCCTTTAAAAGAGGCCAACACTCACTAAGAAAATACATTGTTTCTGAAAGTGCTGAATGTCAAATCCATTTAGCTTAAAGAGATACTGTAACCACCAAAACAACCTTAGCTTAATTAACTGGTTTTAGTGTATAGATCAAGTCCCTGAAGTCTCACTAGGAGATACGTCACTTTTGTTTCTGTTTATGCGGGCTTAGCAAGTCAACATGAAAAACATAGTTTCCTTTTTACCTCCAACTCTGTTCATTTAATTTTAGTCACCCACAGTAGGCTCCTGCAGGCTATAAACAGGGCAGGAGATAAGAAATTCTGAATTTAACAGACTTAGCAATAAAGGAAGTTTAAACATCAGATCTCTTTACATGAAATATGGAGGGAGACTGTGTAGGTCACATGCAGGGAGCTGTGAACATGGCTGCATAAACAAAGCAAAAGCAGATAATTTACTGGTTAGACTGCCAGGGCATTATCTATACACCAAAACCACACTATTAAGCTTAAATTGTTTTGATGCTTATATCCCTTTTACAATGCGGCGCCTTCTTTGAATGATGTTGTTTTAGCTGTAGAGTTTTAGAACTTGCAGGACTGTTCATTAAATCATTGGCCTTTTTAGCCTCAGTGTTGCCATTTGAATGCATGCTGGCGTATGCAGTGTAGCAGGGAGAACGGTTTTACTCTAGATCCCCAACTGGGGGTATAGCAATGACAGCCGATATGGTCAGAACATAGGAGATCTTTAATTATAGAGAAAGTCAGTCTTAGTTCCAACAGTTTTCAGTGCAGCACATCTAACATTTTACTGGATTAAACCATATTATCCTAAACTACAGATTTCCATTTTGGAAATCTACTCCAAACATTAAACAGTATGTCATCACACGAAATAAGCACATCACAGACAATCACACCAAAATACAGCATTAATACCCACATTCAGTTTTAGGACCTGAAATTCATTATGTGTCTGAAAGGATACAGAGTAGACTTTGTGTGTTGTTAAACATTGAAAGTCCAGAGAGAAAACCAGCAAACTCGATGGCAAACATCCCCAATGTAACCGAGAGAGCAACAATCAACCTGTGGAGGAAAACAAAAGTGATAACTTTCTCCCATCCAAATCGTAGGAGTAATTGTGCCTGGCGCAGAATGGTGAAGCACATTCTAAGTATTTAATACTCTTGAAAAAGGCTTTAAAGTGCGAAACGCGTTGCGTTAGATGCTCTGTCTGTTTTTATCTATCACACATTTTTAGGACTGTTCCAAGTTGCTTTTTAAAGTGTAAGTGTAATTTACAGTGACCTCACATACGAAACAAATGTGTTACACAGATTTGTATTATGAGCACTTTCGTTCTTTCCTATTGATCTTAAAGAAAATTGGATCTGAATAACGCCTTTTTGGGACACAGAGCATTAAAAGTCCAATATCATTAATTAGAGCGGTGACTTGGTATCGTGTGTGGTTACTGATATTGGGAGGCATTCCAATACTATTGATTGCTATCTCCAATATGCAAGTGCTTTATACACTTCGGTAGAGGCAGTAATATGACTCTTTGAACCTCTCCTTAAAAATTAGCCCCTTAGTTCACAGTGCCTTCTGTGTCATTCTGTTACCATGCAGGGGAAGAAAGTGGGACAATCTCACAATGCCCTCAATCTCAATTATTTAATTTGAAACTTACTCTGTATCTCGAGAAGAAAATTCCTGTTGTGTGTAAGTGACAGGAAGACAAGCAAGGACATTATTCTCCTACAAAATAAAACACACACAAGTTATTTCAAGTTAATCTGACCGACCCTCAGATGTACAAATAAGTAACAGATAGCTCACATGGCTTTCAGATTATATGAAAGTGGACAAATAGCACAGACTGTACTCTCACTGTATATGCATTGTACTTCACTCTGTCCCCTCTCTGTATATTTTTTATTATCATTTATAGAACCAACATTTGGAAGGTTTGAAATTATACAATAGGCTTATTTACCGAGTACTTTCTAGAAACAAATAACATTGAGGTGAAGAAGACACTACTCGGAAGAGCTTATAGACGGTATAGGTCTTTCTGTATATACAGGTGATAGCTCAGTCTGTCCTCCCACTTTACAGATGGGATAGATAGCTCTGTCTGTCCTCTCTCTGTATATACAGCGATAGATAGCTCAGTCTGTCCCCTCTCTGTATATACAGCGATAGATAGCTCAGTCTGTTCCCTCTCTGTATATACAGCGATAGATAGCTCTGTCTGTCCTCTCTCTGTATATACAGCGATAGATAGCTCAGTCTGTCCCCTCTCTGTATATACAGCGATAGATAGCTCTGTCTGTCCTCTCTCTGTATATACAGCAATAGATAGCTCAGTCTGTCCTCTCTCTGTATATACAGTGATAGATAGCTCAGTCTGTCCTCTCTCTGTATATACAGCGATAGATAGCTCAGTCTGTCCTCTCTCTGTATATACAGCAATAGATAGCTCAGTCTGTCCTCTCTCTGTATATACAGCGATAGATTGCTCAGTCTGTCCTCTCTCTGTATATACAGCAATAGATAGCTCAGTCTGTCCTCTCTCTGTATATACAGTGATAGATAGCTCAGTCTGTCCTCTCTCTGTATATACAGCGATAGATAGCTCAGTCTGTCCTCTCTCTGTATATACAGTGATAGATAGCTCAGTCTGTCTTCTCTCTGTATATACAGCAATAGATAGCTTGGTCTGCCCTCTCTCTGTATATACAGCGATAGATAGCTCAGTCTGTCCTCTCTCTGTATATACAGTGATAGATAGCTCAGTCTGTCTTCTCTCTGTATATACAGCAATAGATAGCTTGGTCTGCCCTCTCTCTGTATATACAACGATAGATAGCTCAGTCTGTCCTCTCTCTGTATATACAGCGATAGATAGCTCAGTCTGTCCTCTCTCTGTCATATACAGCGATAGATAGCTCAGTCTGTCCTCTCTCTGTATATACAGTGATAGATAGCTCAGTCTGTCCTCTCTCTGTATATACAGTGATAGATAGCTCTGTCTGTCCTCTCTCTGTATATACAGTGATAGATAGCTCAGTCTGTCCTCTCTCTGTATATACAGCAATAGATAGCTCAGTCTGTCCTCTCTCTGTATATACAGTGATAGATAGCTCAGTCTGTCCTCTCTCTGTATATACAGCGATAGATAGCTCAGTCTGTCCTCTCTCTGTAAATACAGTGATAGATAGCTCAGTCTGTCCTCTCTCTGTATATACAGCGATAGATAGCTCAGTCTGTCCTCTCTCTGTATATACAGTGATAGATAGCTCAGTCTGTCTTCTCTCTGTATATACAGCAATAGATAGCTTGGTCTGCCCTCTCTCTGTATATACAGCGATAGATAGCTCAGTCTGTCCTCTCTCTGTATATACAGTGATAGATAGCTCAGTCTGTCTTCTCTCTGTATATACAGCAATAGATAGCTTGGTCTGCCCTCTCTCTGTATATACAACGATAGATAGCTCAGTCTGTCCTCTCTCTGTATATACAGCGATAGATAGCTCAGTCTGTCCTCTCTCTGTATATACAGTGATAGATAGCTCAGTCTGTCCTCTCTCTGTATATACAGTGATAGATAGCTCTGTCTGTCCTCTCTCTGTATATACAGTGATAGATAGCTCAGTCTGTCCTCTCTCTGTATATACAGCGATAGATAGCTCTGTCTGTCCTCTCTCTGTATATACAGCGATAGATAGCTCAGTCTGTCCTCTCTCTGTATATACAGCGATAGATAGCTCAGTCTGTCCTCTCTCTGTATATACAGTGATAGATAGCTCTGTCTGTCCTCTCTCTGTATATACAGTGATAGATAGCTCAGTCTGTCCTCTCTCTGTATATACAGCGATAGATAGCTCAGTCTGTCCTCTCTCTGTATATACAGCGATAGATAGCTCAGTCTGTCCTCTCTCTGTATATACAGCGATAGATAGCTCAGTCTGTCCTCTCTCTGTATATACAGCGATAGATAGCTCAGTCTGTCCTCTCTCTGTATATACAGCGATAGATAGCTCAGTCTGTCCTCTCTCTGTATATACAGCAATAGATAGCTCAGTCTGTCCTCTCTCTGTATATACAGCAATAGATAGCTTGGTCTGCCCTCTCTCTGTATATACAGTGATAGATAGCTCAGTCTGTCCTCTCTCTGTATATACAGCGATAGATAGCTCAGTCTGTCCTCTCTCTGTATATACAACGATAGATAGCTCAGTCTGTCCTCTCTCTGTATATACAGTGATAGATAGCTCAGTCTGTCCTCTCTCTGTATATACAGTGATAGATAGCTCAGTCTGTCTTCTCTCTGTATATACAGCGATAGATAGCTCAGTCTGTCCTCTCTCTTTATATACAGCGATAGATAGCTCAGTCTGTCCTCTCTCTGTATATACAGCGATAGATAGCTCAGTCTGTCCTCTCTCTGTATATACAGTGATAGCTCAGTCTGTCCTCTCTCTGTATATACAGTGATAGCTCAGTCTGTCCTCTCTCTGTATATACAGTGATAGCTCAGTCTGTCCTCTCTCTGAATATACAGTGATAGATAACTGAGTCTGCCCTCTCTCTGTATATACAGGTGGACGATAGCTCCGTATATCCTCTCTCTCTCTCTCTCTCTCTCTCTCTCTCTCTCTCTCTCTCTCTCTGAATACAAATAATAGACAGTTGCAATTTAATGTACATTAATGATACATTACAGATATCACTTACTCTTGACCAGAATATTGTAATGACTATAACTAGATGAGCAGTCAGTGTGAGGAAACGAGAAGGGACCAAGCTACTGATGGCCAACATTCTCTAACCTGTGAAGAGAGAATGTAAGACACATTTATAAAATCATTTCAGTGGCTCCTTGGAAAGCATATAAATCACTGATTTTTCACAATCACAGTGTGTATGATACATGAAATATTGTTATAGTAATGCAAAATACAGCTCATTATATATATATATATATATATATATATATAGTAATAATTATAATATAAAACAGATTGAAGGGAGGGATGAGGAGTGAGATAGAGAGATACACATTATTATAACCCTGGGATATAAGGCCCATGTTATATCACACCCAGTCACTGTATATAATACATTACATGCAGTATTATTATAACCCTGGGATATAAGGCCCATGTTATATTACACCCAGTCACTGTATAATACATTACATGCAGTATTATTATAACCCTGGGATATAAGGCCCATGTTATATTACACCCAGTCACTGTATAATACATTACATGCAGTATTACTATAACCCTGGGATATAAGACCCATGTTATATCACACCCAGTCACTGTATAATACATTACATGCAGTGTTATTATAACCCTGGGATATAAGGCCCATGTTATATCACACCCAATCACTGTATAATACATTACATGCAGTGTTATTATAACCCTGGGATATAAGACCCATGTTATATCACACCCAGTCACTGTATAATACATTACATGCAGTGTTATTATAACCCTGGGATATAAAGCCCATGTTATATCACACCCAGTCACTGTATAATACATTACATGCAGTATTATTATAACCCTGGGATATAAGACCCATGTTATATCACACCCAGTCACTGTATAATACATTACATGCAGTATTACTATAACCCTGGGATATAAGGCCCATGTTATATCACACCCAATCACTGTATAATACATTACATGCAGTGTTATTATAACCCTGGGATATAAGACCCATGTTATATCACCCCCAGTCACTGTATAATACATTACATGCAGTATTATTATTATAATCCTGGGATATAAGGCCCATGTTATATCACACCCAGTCACTGTATAATACATTACATGCAGTATTATTATAACCCTGGGATATAAGGCCCATGTTATATCACACCCAGTCACTGTATAATACATTACATGCAGTATTATTATTATAACCCTGGGATATAAGACCCACGTTATATCACACCCAGTCACTGTATAATACATTGCATGCAGTGTTATTATAACCCTGGGATATAAGACCCATGTTATATCACCCCCAGTCACTGTATAATACATTACATGCAGTATTATTATAACCCTGGGATATAAGGCCCATGTTATATCACACCCAGTCACTGTATAATACATTACATGCAGTGTTATTATAATCCTGGGATATAAGACCCATGTTATATCACACCCAGTCACTGTATAATACATTACATGCAGTATTATTATTATAACCCTGGGATATAAGGCCCATGTTATATCACACCCAGTCACTGTATAATACATTACATGCAGCATTATTATAACCCTGGGATATAAGACCCATGTTATATCACACCCAGTCACTGTATAATACATTACATGCAGCATTATTATAACCCTGGGATATAAGGCCCATGTTATATCACACCCAGTCACTGTATAATACATTACATGCAGTATTATTATAGCCCTGGGATATAAGGCCCATGTTATATCACACCCAATCACTGTATAATACATTACATGCAGTGTTATTATAACCCTGGGATATAAGACCCATGTTATATCACACCCAGTCACTGTATAATACATTACATGCAGTGTTATTATAACCCTGGGATATAAAGCCCATGTTATATCACACCCAGTCACTGTATAATACATTACATGCAGTATTATTATAACCCTGGGATATAAGGCCATGTTATATCACACCCAGTCACTGTATAATACATTACATGCAGTATTATTATTATAACCCTGGGATATAAGGCCCATGTTATATCACACCCAGTCACTGTGTAATACATTACATGCAGTATTATTATTATAACCCTGGGATATAAGACCCACGTTATATCACACCCAGTCACTGTATAATACATTACATGCAGTGTTATTATAATCCTGGGATATAAGGCCCATGTTATATCACACCCAGTCACTGTATAATACATTACATGCAGTGTTATTATAATCCTGGGATATAAGGCCCATGTTATATCACACCCAGTCACTGTATAATACATTACATGCAGTATTATTATAGCCCTGGAATATAAGACCCATGTTATATCACCCCCAGTCACTGTATAATACATTACATGCAGTGTTATTATTATAACCCTAGGATATAAGACCCATGTTATATCACACCCAGTCACTGTATAATACATTACATGCAGTATTATTATAACCCTGGGATATAAGACCCATGTTATATCACACCCAGTCACTGTATAATACATTACATGCAGTGTTATTATAATCCTGGGATATAAGGCCCATGTTATATTACACCCAGTCACTGTATAATACATTACATGCAGTGTTATTATAATCCTGGGATATAAGACCCATGTTATATCACACCCAGTCACTGTATAATACATTACATGCAGTGTTATTATTATTATAACCCTAGGATATAAGACCCATGTTATATCACACCCAGTCACTGTATAATACATTACATGCAGTATTATTATAACCCTGGGATATAAGGCCCATGTTATATCACACCCAGTCACTGTATAATACATTACATGCAGTATTACTATAACCCTGGGATATAAGACCCATGTTATATCACACCCAGTCATTGTATAATACATTACATGTAGTGTTATTATAGCCCTGGGATATAAGGCCCATGTTATATCACACCCAATCACTGTATAATACATTACATGCAGTGTTATTATAGCCCTGGGATATAAGGCCCATGTTATATCACACCCAGTCACTGTATATAATACATTACATGCAGTGTTATTATAACCCTGGGATATAAGACCCATGTTATATCACACCCAGTCACTGTATAATACATTACATGCAGTATTATTATTATAACCCTAGGATATAAGACCCATGTTATATCACACCCAGTCACTGTATAATACATTACATGCAGTATTATTATAACCCTGGGATATAAGGCCCATGTTATATCACACCCAGTCACTGTATAATACATTACATGCAGTGTTATTATTATAACCCTGGGATAGAAGGCCCATGTTATATCACACCCAGTCACTGTATAATACATTACATGCAGTGTTATTATTATAACCCTGGGATATAAGGCCCATGTTATATCACACCCAGTCACTGTATAATACATTACATGCAGTGTTATTATTATAACCCTGGGATATAAGGCCCATGTTATATCATACCCAGTAATCTCACACATAGTTACCTCTCTCTGCTCCACTCTGCCACCACTTCCGTTGCCTGGCAACCAATGTACCGTTGCCTTAAAGGGACATCTCGCGAAGGTTAGAGCTGACCAATCAGGTTGCGAAGCGTCATTACGCTCTGCGGGAGCTTGGTGGCCATTTTCCTTCCTGGCAATAGGGTGGCTGGTGAGGGAGGGACTTCAGCTTTTATCTCCAGAATTTTTAAATTAAATTATGTATTTTGTGAATGGATAGAAATTAAACTAATAGCCGATTTACAAGGTCTAATTACATTAAATAAAAAAAATTAAAAAAAAAAATGAACCAGTTACTACAAACAAAAAATGATTGGCAGCGGTGGGATTCGAACCCACGCCTCCAGAGAGACTGGAGCCTAAATCCAGCGCCTTAGACCGCTCGGCCACGCTACCTTGCTGATCTCTCTCGCTCACTGGGCAGGATCATGACTGACAGCATGTGACGTCACTGCCAGCTCTAATGACTTTGAGATAACTATATACAGGTTTTTTCTTTATATATAGTTATTATTATTAATATTAGTATTTCCAATTTAATAAGCAGCACTTTACAGTAATAAGCAGCACTGGCAGCCGCTAGAGGCGCTTCCGCGCTTCTCAATGTGATTTTCACAGTGAGAAGAGGCCAGCGTCCATAGGAAAGCATTGAGAATGCGCATTCGCCGAGGAGGAGGAGAGCTCCCCGCCCGGCACTGGAGAAAGAGGTAAGTTTAACCCCTTCCTCTCCATCCAGCCCAGCGGGAGGGGGACCCTGAGGGTGGGGGCACCCTCAGGGCACTATAGTGCCAGGAAAACTAGTATGTTTTCCTGGCACTATAGTGGTTCTTTAAACGAGATGCCAATCTAGACCGGGTGGGGTCGAGTACCGTGATTACACGAGATGCCAATCTAGACGAGGTGGGGTCGAGGACCCTGATTAAACGAGATGCCAATCTAGACGAGGTGGGGTCAAGGACCACGATTAAACGAGATGCCAATCTAGACGAGTTGGGGTCGAGAACCCTGATTAAACAAGGTGCCAATCTAGACGATGTTGGGTCGAGAACCCTGATTAAACGAGATGCCAATCTAGACGAGGTGGGGTCGAGGACCCTGATTAAACGAGATGCCAATCTAGACAAGGTCGGTTCGAGGACCCCGATTAAACGAGATGCCAATCTAGACAAGGTGGGGTTGAGGACCCTGATTAAACAAGATGCCAATTTGGATGAGGTGGGATATAATAACACGATAGGAAGGACGGGTGGTGGGTAGCGACTGAGTGACATGATGGGACACTGGCACATTAGAAGGTGAAATGGAAGTGGTGAGTGGCCGCACTAATTGAGTAAGAGATCGGTTTGACGAGTGAGAGTTATCCAGAGAGGCCGTATAAAAAATGCAATAGGAGTTATGTATTACAGTAATCATGCAACAAAGTTCTGAAAGTGGAGAAGTCACCCTGGGAACCAATGGAATACTAATGATGATGCCAAAATTTTTTTAAGATTTATCCCACAATTTCATTTTTATTCTTAAAGGAACACTATAGTTGGGAATACAAACATAGTGTTAAACTAACTTTTTAGGCCTCCAGCCCCTTTGCATTGCATGGGAAAGGTGTATTTACTTACCTTTCTCCCACGCTGCACCTGTCTCACCACGGCCGGCTAAACCTACATGGCTGATATTTCTCATAGGAAAAGCATTGACAGGCTATTGCACATGTGCAGATAAACGACACGTATACACTGACAGACACTCACATTCCCAGACATATGCTGCCACAAACACATTCACACACACTATAATACACATATAAACATACACTGTCAGATACAGACTCTCAGATACAGTCAGATACACACACAGTCAGATACACAGACACACCCTCAACATAAAAACACAAACACTACAACAAATCCCTATATGTATAAAGGTACAGGAGATTGTGAGTGTGACCTCCTGTATATATGTATAAAGGTACGGGAGATTGTGAGTGTGACCTCCTGTATATATGTGTAAAGGCACGGGAGAGTGTGAGTGTGGCCTCCTGTATATATGTATAAAGGCACGGGAGAGTGTGAGTGTGGCCTCCTGTATATATGTATAAAGGCACGGGAGAGTGTGAGTGTGGCCTCCTGTATATATGTATAAAGGCACGGGAGAGTGTGAGTGTGGCCTCCTGTATATATGTATAAAGGCACGGGAGAGTGTGAGTGTGGCCTCCTGTATATATGTATAAAGGCACGGGAGAGTCTGAGTGTGGCCTCCTGTATATATGTATAAAGGCACGGGAGAGTGTGAGTGTGGCCTCCTGTATATATGTATAAAGGCACGGGAGAGTGTGAGTGTGGCCTCCTGTATATATAAAGGCACGGGAGAGTGTGAGTGTGGCGTCCTGTATATATGTATAAAAGGCAGGGAGAGTGTGAGTGTGGCCTCCCTGTATATATGTATAAAAGGCAGGAGAGTCACAGGTGTGGCCTCCTGTATATATATGTATAAAAGGCGCAGGGAGGAGAGTGAGTGTGGCCTCCTGTATATGTATAAAGGCACGGGAGAGTGTGAGTGTGGCCTCCTGTATATATAAAGGCACGGGAGAGTGTGAGTGTGGCGTCCTTTATATATGTATAAAGGTACGGGAGAGTGTGAGTGTGGCCTCCTGTATACAGTATATATATATAAAGGTACGGGAGAGTGTGAGTATGGCCTCCTTTATATATGTATAAAGGTACGGGAGAGTGTGAGTGTGACCTCCTGTATATATGTGTAAAGGCACGGGAGAGTGTGAGTGTGGCCTCCTGTATATATGTATAAAGGCACGGGAGAGTGTGAGTGTGGCCTCCTGTATATATGTATAAAGGCACGGGAGAGTCTGAGTGTGGCCTCCTGTATATATGTATAAAGGCACGGGAGAGTGTGAGTGTGTTATAATATATGTGTAAAAGGCCACTTGGAAGTGTGAGTGTGGCTATATGTATAAAGGCACGGGAGAGTGTGAGTGTGGCCTCCTGTATATATGTATAAAGGCACGGGAGAGTGTGAGTGTGGCCTCCTGTATATATGTATAAAGGCACAGGAGAGTGTGAGTGTGGCATCCTTTATATATGTATAAAGGTACGGGAGAGTGTGAGTGTGGCCTCCTGTATACAGTATATATATAAAGGTACGGGAGAGTGTGAGTGTGGCCTCCTGTAAATATGTGTAAAGGTACTGGAGAGTGTGAGTGTGGCCTCCTTTATATATGTATAAAGGTACGGGAGAGTGTGAGTGTGGCCTCCTGTATATATGTATAAAGGTACGGGAGAGTGTGAGTGTGGCCTCCTGTATACAGTATATATATAAAGGTACGGGAGAGTGTGAGTGTGGCCTCCTGTATATATGTATAAAGGTACGGGAGAGTGTGAGTGTGGCCTCCTTTATATATGTATAAAGGTACAGGAGAGTGTGAGTGTGGCCTCCTATATATATGTATAAAGGTACGGGAGAGTGTGAGGGTGGCCTCCTGTATATATGTATAAAGGCACAGGAGAGTGTGAGTGTGGCGTCCTTCATATATGTATAAAGGTACGGGAGAGTGTGAGTGTGGCCTCCTGTATATATGTATAAAGGTACAGGAGAGTGTGACCCCCTGTATATATGTATAAAGGTACAGGAGAGTGTGAGTGTGACCCCCTGTATATATGTATAAAGGTACAGGAGAGTGTGAGTGTGACCCCCTGTATATATGTATAAAGGTACGGGAGAGTGAGTGTGGCCTCCTGTATATACGTATAAAGGTACAGGAGAGTGTGAGTGTGGCCTCCTGTATATATGTATAAAGGTACAGGAGAGTGTGAGTGTGACCCCCTGTATATATGTATAAAGGTACGGGAGAGTGAGTGTGGCCTCCTGTATATACGTATAAAGGTACAGGAGAGTGTGAGTGTGGCCTCCTGTATATATGTATAAAGGTACAGGAGAGTGTGAGTGTGACCCCCTTCATATATGTATAAAGGTACAGGAGAGTGTGAGTGTGACCCCCTGTATATATGTATAAAGGTACAGGAGAGTGTGAGTGTGACCCTCTGTATATATGTATAAAGGTACGGGAGAGTGTGAGTGTGACCCCCTGTATATATGTATAAAGGTACGGGAGAGTGTGAGTGTGACCCCCTGTATATATGTATAAAGGTACGGGAGAGTGTGAGTGTGGCCTCCTGTATATATGTATAAAGGTACGGGAGAGTGTGAGTGTGACCCCCTGTATATATGTATAAAGGTACAGGAGAGTGTGAGTGTGACCCTCTGTATATATGTATAAAGGTACGGGAGAGTGTGAGTGTGACCCCCTGTATATATGTATAAAGGTACGGGAGAGTGTGAGTGTGGCCTCCTGTATATATGTATTAAATTACGGGAGAGTGTGAGTGTGGCCTCCTGTATATACGTATAAAGGTACGGGAGAGTGTGAGTGTGACCTGCTTTATATATGTATAAAGGTACGGGAGAGTGTGAGTGTGGCCTCCTGTATATACGTATAAAGGTCTAAGAACAGCCCCGCGCCCACTCACACCCCTAACAGTTAAAGTGTCCCTCTTTTTACCTTTGACATGTTGGGAGATGTGTTAATGGGCGTATTATGGATGGTAAGTGGGAGGTTCAATGTGCAGCATTCACAGCCTGCAGGATCCATTAGATCACTGACTCCCCACATAGGGAGTTACAATGTTACAACAGGGCAGCACTTTTCAAGCACCGACCATCAGCTTTGAGAAGTAAAGTCAGTTCAGGAAACATTGGATTCTTTGGCAATCCAGGAGCTGATTCAGTTCAGGGTCAGCCCAGTTGAACAGTGGTAAAAGGCTGAGATTGCTGGGATTTGCAGTCCAAGAGTACAGATAAAGGAATGACAGTACTCAGACATGCTCCATCCATTTTATTCCTGTAATTTGTATCCACCCCTTAATCACTCCCCCCTGCCTCCTCCCCCTCATTTTCATTGTGTGGGAGTCTGGGTGACATCTTGTATTACAGACAGATCTCACATGGAGTGTGAGTGTGGCTGAGAATGGGAGGATGAGCTCAACAAGAAGGAGGAGGGATTTCTGCAGAGAAATGACAGGGATCATCTGGTGAAAGCACAGCCATGGGTCATATTGGGGCACATGAGACAGGCGAAGGCTCTGTGGCGCAATGGATAGCGCATTGGACTTCTAGCTGGTGAAGCAATTCAAAGGTTGTGGGTTCGAGTCCCACCAGAGTCGCTTTTTATTTTTTTGGTCTCTGAAACTATTTCACATTAACCTGTTGCTCTTTTTGCTTGGACTTGAATTTTACACGTGTTATAGAAGTAGTATAATCGCTACTTAGATTCCATATAACACGTAAGTTTCTTAATACATATTTTTATATATTTAAAAATTCCAAATCTAAAATTATATATTACTTGTCTTTTGTTTTTTTGCTTGTAATAAATTATTTACGATAATAACGTAATTTTATTATGAACATAAAAATATATATATATTTTAACCTCTTTAATACCTATGTCTAAAGATAATTGTTTACCCACATTTTTAACTATTACAGGTATAACCCCTTACACCCAAACATAAACAAGCCAGGAACCCCCCACCCCTCCATCCCACTTTGCTAACCTTACACAGAACCCCCCAAAACAGACCCCTCACAAAACCCAGTCTATCTCTGAATCCACTGTGACCTCCAGAGCAGCTTGTCACCCCCACATTATCAGGGTTATCCAGCAAACTCCAATTTATAGCAAATTCAATTATGAATAGCAAAACATAGGCTGAACTGGCTAAAAGCAATGGCTATAGCCTAGCTGAATAACATTTTTCTTTTATTTTGTCATTCAGACAAGTCAGAATTAGAGGATCACTCTGGGCACCAATACTACTTCAGTGATCTGAGTGGTCACTGTGTCTGGAGTCTGGCTGCACATACAGAGTTTAAACCCTCTGCTGCCGGAGGTTTAATTGTGCTTCTGGCGGCGTTATTGGGGCGTCTTTGGCAAACCTGGAATAAAAGTTTTGGTTGCCTCATGGGAACTTCGTATATTGGACGACATATTGTGTGACATCGAGGGAACTCAGCAAATGAAATGGCTGCGCTGGAGGGGTGGCTATAGAGCCGCTCGCACAGCGCTTCAGACCCAGACAAGAGGTTGACGCCCCAGACAAATGCCTTATTCATCTTACGGTAGCACCAGTCCTGCATCCATTGCTATCCAGAGCTGAGCTTGGCCTCGGCACTGGTTAGTTTGCTATTGTCCCGAACCTGCACTATGCAAAGATGCTGCCATGCCCAGAGCGTTTCTGAACCATTCTGCCCCCATAGGGGCCAGACAGACAGACTGTCAGTGAACCTGGCATATATTCTCCCTAGGCTGACCCTCCCTTTCTTGGGCCTATTGTAAGCTATGTCTTGGCGTATTTCACCCATGATTTTATATGCCACGCCATTTCATACATGACCCCGCAATCCCACGCAATTTAATTTAATATTTCTTTCCATGATCCTGTTATGGATCAAACCAAGTGTTTGTTTTTCTGAGTATCTGCTCCTTTCCAAATTGTTATGGTAAATGCGTGCACGCTTGAAGTAAATCACGCCGAGACACAAGTTTCAGGTTAATGAAAAACTTCGGAATGTTTACTCAGGGGGGCGGCAAGCCCCTTATAAAGGCAGAAATACATCATATGCAAAAATGTAAGATAACAGAAAGAATACATCTTTAATTGGTTAGGTGTTAAGTGTCTTATCTATTGCACATCCTACAAGGCGTGATGTCACCATCATCTCGGGATTTTACTCCGGATGGAGACGCCATCTTGTTACACGAGGTAGTTACTAGTTAGTCGATGGGAGGGGTGCTCTAGCAGCCATTTTGAGTAGATATTGAATACAGATATACACAGTAAACAGACATTTTACTAACGTTAATTTCTATCCATAACAATCCCATATGACACCCATAGAGGTACGGCAGGTTAAGACTGTGGGAGGCGCCGTTGGGTAGCAGTGAGTGTACAGGGACGCCATCAGGTCATGTAAGCCCATACTCTTGTCAGGGGCCCGACTGAACCCTTTAACTAGAAATATCTTCTTATACTCGACTGAGTCCCTGACAATAACAGCTTCTGTTCTCCCTAGCACTGTAGTACTGGCAGTGGTGATTACACACCACCAGCACAGAGAGTTGTGCCAGGGAGAATGGGTTGCTCCCACCAATTCCATCTTGCTTACATTGGACCCTAGGTAAGGCATCCTCCTGAACTCAAATTGTATGGAAATAGGAGGGTGCCTACAGTTTCCCATTTATTTTGGAGCTGGGTTTGATGTGTTTTGGAGAATGAGGTCACTGTGGGGCTGGTGCTGTGGGGGACCAGGACACTGTCTTCCTGAGAAGGATGTAATTTCAGGTTGTGGAGGATGAAGGCACTGTGTGGACAATGTACAGTGTGGGTGATGATGACTGTGTGTTTTGAGGGGATTATCTAGGTGGTGTGATTGGTTGGGCTGGGAATGGCAATATTATGAGGATGGCGTAATGTGGGTATGCCTTGAAGATGTGGATGTGGTGGGGATAATAGATGCTCTTTTCCTATGGCCCCACATGTGCCTGTCTGGCAGTGTGTATTTGTATATGTGTGTATCTTCATTATCCTTTGATAAAGTCTGAAACATGTAAGGTTTTGGCTTGGCTCTCCCTGTGTTGTGTCATTACTGTCTGTGTCAATAAAGCTCTTTTATTGTTTGTAGAATGCCACTCTTCGTTCGTATTCTTTCTATCCAAGCCTGGTTTATTTGGAATATGTATCTATATGTGTCAATGAGAGAATATCCACGTGTAAGGGTAAGAGTAATGAGCGAGGAAGAGAGGTTGGAACGGAACTGGAAGGGACAGAAGTAGGAAGGGAGGAAGGGGAGAAGGTAGGAAGTGGTCACATCACTGGAACCGTACTGCCAATATTTATAGTGTGAGGACCCTTTATCACAGCTGGAAGCAGAATTATTTTAATTGGCTCCCAGAGTATTGTGTGTTCTTCTATACAAACCGGGCTCATTTCATGGCTGATACTTCTATTTTAATGTACATTTCTCTCATTTTCATTTATCTCATTTTCTTGCAGCCATTTACCGAGTTACCTAGTGCCCAGCAGGCAGATGGTTTTATCCAACAAAGAAGCAAGCGAAGAGAATAGGTCAGTGCAAACAGTAAAAAAAAATTCTACCTATGCCAGGAGGTAGTAAGTGACACAATGCAGTGCCTAAATTAAAAGGCAGCTCTAAACACAGTGGAATACCCTTTTTTCACAATAAATCTTAGATATACAGGAATTGTATGGTATACTACGTATACCAATTAGTGGAGCGCTGTAAAATGAGGATAGTGCAGGTGTTAAACTTACCCCATTAATTCAGTGTGACAACAAACTTGAAAATACAAACGATACATATGGAAAAGAAGAAAATATAAATTTTATAGTGCAGATGGTCTTGGACAATAATCGGTGATGGGTAAATAAAATAGAACCACTCACATGGTCTGTAGCCTATTTGTTATTGGCTCCGTAAGGTAAACCTTTTTGATCTTAGGGCAGCAACACACCACTTCCTCACTGATGTTCCTTCAAGTGAATTACAAAAAGAGGAAGAAAGAGGCGATGAATTGCGCGGTACGTTATAGAAATAGTTTAACTACCTATATTCTATAAAGTACCGCACAATTGGTTGCCTCTTCTTCCCTCTTTTTGTAATTCTCTTGGAGGAACATCAGTCAGGAAGTGGTGTGTTGCTGCCCTAAGAGCAAAAAGGTTTACCTTACGGAGCCAATAACAAATAGGCTCCAGACCATGTGAGTGGTTCTATTTTATTTACCAATCACCGATTATTGTCCAAGACCATCTGCACTATAAAATGTATATTTTCTTCTTTTTCATATGTATTGTTTGCATTTTCAAGTTTGTTGTCACACTAAGAATAGGCCAGTGAATTGCAAATTGTAGGCAAAACAGACACAATGAAAATATATCCAGCCCATTTATTCATCAGACTCAGCTAATTATGTCTAAACTTCCAGATTTGTGTATAAACCCAATTGTTTCTTCTAGAAGAATTCATTTCACGTATGCTGGGTGAGTATGTTGAATGAAGCCTATATATTCTGTCACATTGTGTTGCATACAAGTTAAATGGGTCAACATTCTGAGATTTCAATTTATATGTTGGACAGTAAAGGTTCTCCCTGGGATGATAAAACTGTTGGAGACGAAGAGGATTGGGGTTTGTTTTTGTAGGAGGTGGGAAATTGCACGAACTGGGAAAGTCAGTGTTGTTTTGAAGATAAAGGTCATCACCTAAATAACTCAAGTGACTTCCCCCCCAACAGTAATAAATGTTGAAGATGGAGAGATGATGATTTGCGTGACAATGCAGGAACAGACTTTAAAAACAATGTTCAGATGGTACGTGACACCGGTGACACTGTATCACATGGGTAAAACTCCAACAGACCAATGCTGGAGATTGGGTGGGGACATGTGGTAGAGTTGACCCCTAGTGGCCACATTGTGGAAGGAGGTGGAAAGGCTGGCCTCCCAGATCCTCCAAAAAACATGTTAGTCTTGACCCATGAGTGCAACTGCTATCTAGACCAATAGACGGCTGGGCGAGACCAGAGATGGCTCTATTACGCAACATTACATTAGTGGCCCGTAGAGCCTTAACACAGACTTGGCTGCAGCCCACGACTCCAACCATAGCCACAGTACTCTATAAACGTAAGGATAACTATCTCATGGAAAAACTAACAGCTCATGTAAGGGGGACACTAAATAAGTTTATTCGAATCTGGGAGCCATGGGAAGCTTACTCAGGGACGCTGGGGGGGTACTTCGGGAACTCAGCGCTCTACCTTGACTCCGTCTCGGGCGCCCGGAAGGTACCACCTGGCTGCCCTCTGCCCTTCCGCCCTGCTGACCTGCTTCCTACCTATTCTGATTACAACCCAAAACTTCCCTTTATCTTGTAACATTCTATGAACCTCCTCTATCTTCCTCCCTACTATTCTCCTGTCACCTCTCCTCATTCCTGTTCCCATTCTCCATGGGATTAAAACTACTCATCGTTCACTTAACTTGCATTGAAACACATATACAAGAAACAACAAAAGGACAAACCCTTATAAGGTGGGTACAAAAACCTAACTTAGAGTCACATACAATCTTAGCACAAAATATAGTTGAGACCGACATAGCCTTTGCCACCTATTTTGCAACTTCCAAAGCCTTATTTAAAACTGTTATGTTAATGCAATGTTACTTGTATTCAAAGTTCAAAAGATATCGCAATGTTCTGTGTGCGGCTCTTGTCACCAGGGCAGGATTAACATAGGGGCTGATGGAGCTGCAGCTCCAGGCCCATGCCTATGGAATAGGCCCATTGATTTAAAAAAAAAAATATATATATATATATATATATATATATATATATATTTCTTTCTTATTTTTTACTACTCTTCACACGCTCTTGCTTAAGTATGGACACTTAAGATGGATGTAGTGGAACAAAACTGGTCAATGAAATTAGTTAAGGTAAAGCTGACTTTGCGCACTATCCGAATGCTCTTGCTGCTTCAGTCTCTCTAACACTGTGGCATGTTCCCTTTCTTCTACACTCATTACATACACCTTTTCTCTGTCTCAGACTATATACTAGGAACCTGCCTGCTGGTAAGAAGGTAAGGAGAGGAGTGGACCAGCAAGTGCTAGGGGACAGTTCTCAAAAAAGTGTAGAGCTAGCACATCATTAGACGCATTTATGTCAAGCTCAGGGGGCTGGCTGCACAGTATCCCCTTGGTTGGTCATTCTGCATGATTGGCAGGCTGCCAGACGTGTATTTACACCAGGCTGACCATCTAATTCTTCGTGCAGACACGTCCCCTTTTTGTGCATGTTTGTCCCTTTGGGCGGGTCTGATTACGTGATTAACATCAGTGGCACACCCTTTTACCCCACCCACCAAAATCCTTCTTCACCGGACGCTGCCATTAGGGGGTATGGATTTACTTGAAAGATGAGAGTGAGAGATTAGCATAAGGTATGTGTTTTCTGATACCTATATCCTGTGAGTTTCCCTCCAGCACCACCTCCACTAGATACATGACGTTTGGGAGGTATACCTGTTTTAGTGTTTTCTGTCGATAAAATTCTGTAATTAGGCCCATCATAATTGTCAGCACCAGGTCCAATGGGCTCTTAATCCGGCCCTGATTGTCACATAATTGAATGTGAACTATATTACTGTATTTGCTAACCTCACTAAAACTGGCAAAAATAAAGAATTAAAAAATAAATAAATAATAGTGTTACAAACATCTGAAGGCCTATCTCCTACTTTATCTATTTCCCCAAATTATTCCAAGCTTCTGTCAAATGTATTACTCATTTTTAACTGTGGACAAGATTAACAAAATAAAAAATAAACTATATTTAATGTTTTTTTTTATTAAAAAAAGAATTACAAAGCTCACAAATGCTGTATAACAGCAAAATAAGCAACCGTTTTACATATGAAGAAATGGAGTATAAAGAAAGAATAAGGATTCCACAGCCATATGCATAACATACAGAGGATGTATACAGATACTGTACATAGGTAATTTATATAAACGCATTGTGTACTTCAAAACAGCCGTGATAATGTGCAGAACCTTTAAGTCTTGCAAACTGTAGTCTAATGCCTGTGGCCAGCAAACAGGCTTGGGCAAGACAAGGCCTACATCATAGTCACATTGCAGAAAAGATAATCAATTCATCCATTGCTAAAACAGTATAGAGCTATGGCCAGGGTCTCCACACAAATGTTTGGCTATTCTCTGGCTGTATGTGAAAACCGGCTGGATTTTCAGGACTGGGAGAAAGCCAGCCAGGTGAGCTAGCCATCTCAGGACTACTTAAGGTTGAAGTAGAGAATGGGCTCAGATCATCACCGGAATGAGAAAAGTCTATGGTCATATTGTGTTGACTCTCTTTGGAGGCCAAACCGTCTTCTGATTTATCAACCACATTAGAGAGGAAGACTTGCTTGGGGAATCGTAGCTGCTGTTGAAGGTGGGTTTGCAGTCCATCTAGGAAACGGTTCCTGGCATCAGGGTTGATGTCACTGATGAAGTCTTCTGTACGGTCTAAACAGTCTCTGAATCCGGACAGGTAGAATTTCTCTGCGGGTGATACCCATCGTTCAGGATCTAGGTACAAAAGATGAAAATTAACAATATGGAATACAGAACCTACATAGGAGCATGAACATTTACATAATGTAGGACTTAAATCATCATGATATAACAGCCGCATCAATCGGTGAGTCAAAGAGGGAAGCCACACATTTGTATTGAAGTTACTCTTAGTTTCATTCATTCCGAGAGGGGAGTATTGCTCACTTTACCATGGATGGAAGTCCCACTCATTCATTCAGATATGACAGTACTCCGACTCAAAGGGTGACACATAAGCTTACTTATACAGGACGTGTAGTGAGAACAGTCTTTCTAAACTGGAACACAACTTTTTGTAAGGATGTTCCATGTCGGAATTCTATTACCTACCTTGTGATATAAAAAGCGGATTTCTTCTAACAGAATGTGTCAACAGTTTTGTTGTGATGTGATTGACTTGAACATTGGTCACACTTTTTTTTTTACTTTAACCAGAGAAAGAGTCATACTTCTATCCAAAATTACTTGTGAATTTTGATTAATTGCTAAATGATCTTGACACTTTAAACATTTTTTTTTAATTAAAGACAACATTCAACCTATTACGAGCCTGTGGTCAAAGTATTGGTGGCACAATTTGAAGTGGCTTGAGGAACACCCCTGTGGTTTGGAACACTGATTGAAAACCACTAGACTAGAAACATGGTTAATATTGAACAGGTCTGCTAAATGGTGCTTTGTTAACTTTGTGGGGCTTATGGAAAATAATTGGGGTTATCCATTTATTGAGAAATTGTGGGACATTGACAACTAAATTGTACTAATTCCAGTTAGTTAGAGATTACAGCCTAAAATCTGTAGTGTAGGGTTAGAGGACTTTAAATCCTCTTAGGGGTACCTGATCAATGGAAGCCTGGAGTGCTTTGGGGGTTATAAGACAAATATTTCTAAATGGACAAACACAGTATATTTGCGGTAACAACATTTTATTCACTTTTAGAACTTTGCACTGTTAGTAAACACCAAAAAATACATGCGCTGTTAATGGTTTCGGTGTTTATACCGTGCGTCTTCATACGCGTCACGTTTCCAATGTAAATCACAGCCAATTCCAAAATTTCAGCCTTCTCCATTTTAGGATTACGAAGTTTCTGTGCAAACAGTAAACAAACACAAACACATATCAAAAATAACAGAGACAAAAATATCAGTGCATTTAGTCTTTCACTTCATCAATACTGTAGCATATACCAAGGCAGCCAACGCGCACTGCGTAGGGTAATGCACACAACCAGGGCTGCCACCAGAAATTATGGGGCCCATGACGCAGCTCAAGGTCTGGGGCCCGCCCACATGGCCCACCCCCAAGTCAGCCCACATGACCCGTCCCTAAATCCGGCCACAGGGCCATCTTGAGTCCACCCACAAGGATGAAGTGTGTGTGTACTGAATTTGGTTGTGTATATAGTGGCTGTAGAATGTTTGTAGTGGATGCAAAGTGTGTGAGTAAAGTGGATACAGTGTTTATAGTGGATTCAGATTGTATGTTTGTGTAGTGGATAGAGAGTGTGTGTATTGTGGATGATTTGTGTGTATAGTGAATGCAAAGTATGTGTTTGTGTAGTGGACGATGTGTGTTTATGTAGTGAATACTGTGTGTGTGTTTGTGTAGTGGATGATGTGTGTGTATAGTGGATGATGTGTGTGTGTTTGTGTAGTGAATGCTGTGTGTGTGTTTGTGTGTAGTGGATGATGTGTGTGTTTGTGTAGTGGATGATGTGTGTGTAGTGAATGCTGTGTGTGTGTGTGTGTTTTTGTGTAGTGAATGCTGTGTGTGTGTTTATGTGGTGGATGATGTGTGTGGTTGTACAGTGGATGCATTTTGTCTGTTTGATAATGGATGTGTGACAAATGCTGCTTCGGGGTATTTTTTTTGCTGTTTAATTTTTATATATATTTTTAAATGTATTTCCCTCTCCCTGCCCCTCACCTGTAGCCAGGGAGGGAGGACACTGGATTCCCTGGTGGTCTGGTGGCTCAGCTTGTTGGGCCAGCATAGAGGGGCCCAGCAGAGTCCATCTTCCCCCTCCTGCAGCCACTGCTCTAGTTGTGCAGCAAGCCTAGCCTGCATTGTGTGCCGTGGAGCGTTGTTATGGCAACCCGCGGAAACGCTTTACAGCCATGGCTCGCAAGAGTGCTGGAGGGGAAGGTCAGTGTGTCCTGGGCCCTTCTTGGAAGCCAGCAGGGCCCACAGCGGCATATACATAGCGGCACTCGCTATATATATGCACATAGAAGAGCCAGGGGCCCCGGGCACGCATTGGATTACCTGTGCAGTCCGGGCCCCCAAGCACTGCAGGGCATTTTGTTACATTGTGCAGTGCTGTGTGCATTACACTGCGCAGGGCATTTTGTTACACTGTGCAGTGCTGTGTGCATTACCCTACGCAGTGCCGCCCAGGAGTGATGCGATTGAGCGCAGGACTTATCTTTTTGTATTTGTATTCACTTTTTGTAGCACACAGCTTTGTTACAATGCAGCCACCCATCCCATGTGTTCCCTATTAAGGGTTAATAAGTATATAGGGGTGTATATAAAAAATACCCCTCTCTGTCTCAGTGGAGATATCTTTGTCAGAAGCTCAAGGAAGCAAGGTGAAGGGTCAGAGTAGGACCTGCTTGGGGGGGTCTGCCTTGACATTGGCAGGAGGGCATTCCCTCCAATGGCCATTGGAGTAACTAAATGACCTCCATTTGTCTAAATATACATAGGGATTAAGATTTTTTTCTTTGGTTTTTAACTATATATTGGGGCTGATGTGTACTGTGGTCCTTGCTGCCACCCAGGAGTGATGGGAGTGAGCGCATGACTTATCTTTTTGTATTTAAATATATATATAAAAATCCAACAGCAAAAAAATATACTACACTATAAACACTGTATCCACTTTACTCACATACTTTGCATCCACTACACACATTCTACAGCCACTATACACAACCAAATTCATTACACACACACTTCATCCTTGTGGGTGGATTCAAGATGGGCCCTGGGGGTGGGTCATGCCCCCAGGGGCCCAGACCTTGAGCTGCGTCAGGGGCCCCATAATTTCTGGTGGCAGCCCTGGCGTAGGGTAATGCACACAGCACTGCACAATGTAACAACGTACATTACATTGAGCACTGCACAGTATACCACATACAGCACTGCACAATGTAACAAAGTGCACTGCGCAGTGTATTGCATACCGCATTGCACAATGTAACAAAGTGCCCTGCACTACACAATGTAACAAAGTGCCCTGTGCAATGTAATGCACACAGCACTGCACAATGTAACAAAGTGCACTGCGCCGTGTAATGCATGCAACAATGCACAATGTAACAAAGTGCACTGCATAGAGCACTGCGCAGTGCACTGGCTGTTCCAGAGTAGGATAGTTGAGGCAGCTAGGGCGACTCTATAGTGTGACACACATGTTTGAATACCTGCCATTGGCTTTCTAGGTAAGTAATAATAGCATATACACACTAAAATGTGCCTGGAAACTCGGACAAGCAAAATGTGCTATTCTTCATTGAATTCATTGATATTTATATATTTTTTTTATTTATGGTTATTATTGCTAATTATCAGCATGGATCTATGCATCTATTAGGAAACACAGACCCCAAAAGGCAATACATTGTTTAAATACACCTACCCAATCTTAAAGCCCAAGGACAGCTGAAAAAATTGTTAAAGTGGATATTGGATATTGTGATCTAAAACGTAAAATTCCATTTGAATTAACTTTGAATTTAAGCAATTTACACGTTATTGAATAACCATGACAGGCGGCATAACAACGTTTATATCCTTTTTCTATGACGCTATAGGCTATAGTTTTGAAGGTTCAGTAGAAGTTAGTATTAGTGAGCTAAGTTCTCACTGTGCTAAACAGCTAAAACACTGTGCTAAAATACTTTTTTTAGTATTAATAGTGACATTGACACCAGAGTTTTCTTTATTTAAACAATTCCTGGACAATAGAAATAAAATTTATAAAATTAGAATAATTAACAAATAACATACCATCTATTATTACCGGGCGTTAGATAATAAAGGTCACAAGATGGCCCTCAGACAACCATCTTATATAGAGGACCAATTGAAATATCACTGGAATGTTTAGGAAGACAATATTAAACATACATAGTCTTTATAATTTAAACCCACGATTGACCATTGCTTATTTATATAATTAGGACTCATATTGGATATTATACACCTTCAATATCTATTTATAAGTTTTGAAATATTGTGCTAAATGTGCAATTGTTTATTGTTTGTAATAACTACATTGTTTGATCATGAACATTTTGATGGGTGTTTAACCCCTTTTTACCACCCTCTTTTGTTTTTGTTTTCTTCTGTTTTGCTTCATCTAAAATGTTTGTAAATTAATATATTAAAAAATCTTTCAAAAACATTATTGGACTTGGGGAAAAAAAGGCAAAAGAAATTCAAAATAACAGCAGTGCATTCTACCGATTCTACTCCACATGTTTGTAAAACAGAAATCCGTGGAATTTTCAAATCTACCCTTTTGTGCTTAGAAGAACACTCCAATCACCATAACCACTACAGCTGGTGCACTCCCATTGTAAGTAGTCAAACCATTCATAACAGCTTGACCTCTTACCTGGAGTTTACCGGTGCAGCTTCCTGTCTCCACTACCTTGGCCATAAATAAGAAAGCTTCTTATCTGAGCTAAGCCTGGGGTTAACACACACTCAGAGTTTGGGCTCACCTGGTTGGGAATCATTACCGATACATTCCAAAGAAACTCGAAGGCAGATTCACTTTCACTCTCGCTCTAAGTCCCTTTTAGTGTTAAGCCTCCGAAGTCCCCCCAACTCTAAAAATCCCTGAGAAGGCTAATCCACTCCTAACCTTACCTCGTTGGCATCCTTTTCAATGGATAAAGGAAAAATAGAATATCAATATACAGTGTGATAAAATAAAAAAACTTCTATCATGCTTAATATACTTCCAACCCAGCATACAAAAATTAGTGAAAACATGATAAAACATATTATAGTGGAAAGAACACCTTAAATCTGCAATGGCACCGTTTGGGATCCCTTGGCGGTCCGGTGGCGGGGCAGGGCAGGTAACGATGAGTTTACTTACCTAAACCTGTCCCTTCCAGGTGCCGTCATCATGATCCAACGGGCTCCTCTTTGATACCGACGTCACTGCTGTACTCTCGCGCATTTGAGAACATGGAACACGCATATTTCACCAGATGGTCATTCTCAAAAAATATCTAACACTTGACCCATTTATACACACATGGTTTTCATTCTGCAGGTAATCAGGGCAAGCATTGCCTTCAGGACTTCCCAGTCCAGATAAATTGATTATACTATATTGTTTATTACTCACAAATCGCCCCTGAAAATACTGCTAAATATAAGTGTATAAACCACAAAATGCTTTAGCTGATTGTCAGCTATGTTTTCTCTATGTGAGATTGTGTGTTTATAGTTATTATTATTATTATTTTATTTATGTAGCGTCATCAGATTCCGTAGCGCTGTACACTAGTCTGCATGTCATTTTAATTGTTATACGTTTTTAGACCTTTGGATTGTGAATTGCCTTACTTTAATTAATTTTCTTATTACTTTGAGTGGGTTTCAATGGGCAGCCCACCTTCCTGCACAAAGCGATACCTCTCACCATTACTTTATACGGCGGTACTGACCTGATTTCCTGTGAGTTTCAGTAACAAGATCCTCATTTCTTCCAAGCAGTTATTTATTCGATCCCTCCTCTGCTTCTCCACAACTGGTTTTAGGATCTGAGAATGAAAAGGATTCATAAAATGCTGAAAACATTCAACCATCTCACTACCAATAATATCTCGGAATCAGTCTGTTGGGGGTAAATTAGATTACTATGCTAGTGAAGTAGAAATAAAAAAAAATCTTTCTCTCTCCATTACTTGTTAGTATTAGCCACCCACCACCAGAGGGCAGCGTTAATACAAATGTACCATTTAGGTTGGACTCTGGTCTACGCATGGTGAGCCAAAAGTATGTATACACTTGAATCAATGAAATTTGTCACAACAGGTTATATGATACACATACACACTGACACACAACAAAGTGGTGGTTAGATTTCAGGCAATTAAATACCAGTGTGGCAGTTGAAAGGAATAGAGAAATGTTGCAGCGTTGATAGAATACATATGCAAATTCCTATTTTTGGGCCACCAATAGAAAATGTGGGGTGGGCACTACCTTATAATTCTCGCTGGCTGTTGATCTGCCATTCTCTTTTTTCAATCAGCTGTTACTTATATTGACCCTATTGTTGCCATTTTGGCAATGTTTTCTGGCATGGCTATAGGTTTCACATGCTATTTAGGGGTCCAAGACTAGTGATCCCTATGTGTATTACAGTCACAAGGTTTCAGATTAACGCAATGATGGAAGGTAGCACCACACATAAACGTAATGATTATTACTTTGGAACTTAGAGACACTCATCCATGCCACACAATATTGTGAGTTGTATCACGTATTACTTTGGAGCTGATGAAAGTCTGTGATACAGACTGAAACGTTGATTTTTATTTTGAGCTAATAAAAGCTAAGTTTTATTCATTCTACTTGGAAGTCCCTGGAGTGCTATCTTGTACTTTTGGCTGCATCTGTTTGCTGATAAGCACTGGGCAAGTACATCAAGGAAGGTGGAGTGCATTACTTTTTATATATATATATATATATAACACTTTATAAAATACATCTAATTACCCCTTCCTCTTTTTACCTTCATGCACTGAGGGTGGTCATGCTGTTCCCTGGTGGTTGAGTGTGAAGAGCCGCTGCCGAATGCAGGCCTGGTATATGTGTCTAGCGAACTGATCTTTTATCTCCAAACTTGACCGTAAAGGCACCCATAGGCATGGACCACCTTAAGCTTGTGCCAGCCCTGATGGAAGGGACCTTTTTTTGAAACTACCAAGATAAAACTTTTCATGTGCATCCCAAGGGTAGGAAACGTTTTGAGAAAAATATGGTCAAGGTGGCAATTTCAGTTTCCCACAAGTGCATTATATGTCTGTTCTCTGTGGCTGTAGAAAACTGTCACGTTACAGAGCTTTTACTCTTTGATCAACTAGTTAATTCAAACCCTTATGCTTCGTACTTTACTTCGTCCCAATTGAAACCATAGTGCACTTAAAGAGGAACTGTCATTTCTCTGGACTTAGATAAAGCATTTCAAACTACATACAACTTGTGTTAATCAGTTTTTCATCAGATGAGCTGTTTTCTTTTAGATTTATTGAGATTTTAACCAACTACGTAATTTTCCAGTTCAGACATGCAATGCCAGGGCAAGCTTTGCTGATGAAGAAGAGAAACATTTTTTTAAATTGACACTCCCTAATGAGCGCGGGACTTAAGACTTTGGGGTTAAATTGTTTATTAACAGTTTAACTCCTCAAGCTAAGTCAGTTTACACCATAACTACTTCTCTTTTGTGATTAACTTGTTACGCTGCCAATCAGTGAATCCCCATTTAAAAATCTGTTTTGAAAAGAAAAGTAAATTTTCAAGCCAGTTTTGTAAATGGGGAGTCACTGACTAGTTGAGAGCATCAGCTGACCCCTCTCAGCCAATCAGCGGCATGCTGCGCTTCCAGAAACTGACATTTCGAAGCTGGATGATGCCGGGCCGGGGAGGGGGAGTTGAGATCAGCACTGGAGGCAACTTTGGGGTTAAACATTAAACAGTTTAACCCCCTTGAAGTAAGAGTGCTTCTGGGGCCTCCTAGCACTTTAACAACTTAATTTAGTTTAAGTTGTTATGGTGCCCGGAGTGTTCCTTTAAGCAGTTAATCTGGATAAAACTGTTACTTTACCTCTCTTCCTCCCATCCGTGACAGAGAAGCACATTAAATATTAGTTTCTTAGCACATGTAGTCCTAGTGCTCTCTACCCTTGGTCCCAATGAGTTTCCCCAGCAACATTAGGTGACAGACAGTTAATGGTTAATGTGCTGCCAGTCATCCAGAGATTTAAAGTTGGGTCACTTTTGAGTAAGCCTAGCCGCAATGTTGAAATAAAGGAAGCAGGTGTTGAGATGTGATGTGCCACATCCTGTTTGATAGGTAGCACACCAAGTGAGAGAAATGTGAAGGTTAATTATTAATTGGATTGTATACATAGAATATTTTCTACAGTGTACTTAACAATTGAGCCACTAGGGGGAGCAAGCAGACCTTCAGATACAGGTCCAACCATGGACTGTCTTCTACATAGGTAATTCCCTGAGTATTACAGTCAAATAGAGGAGTAGTAGAACATATATGTATGGTGAACAGTGACACTAGATGGCCATATTAAAGGGACACTCCAGGCACCCAGACCACTTCTGCCCATTGGAGTGGTCTGGGTGCCAATTCCCATTACCCTTAACCCTGCAAGTGTAATTATTGCAGTTTTTATAAACTGCTATAATTACCTTGCAGAGTTAAGTCCTACTCTAGTGGCTGTCTATCAGTAAGACTGTCTATCAGACAGCCACTAGAGGGACTTCCCTGTTCTTAGAACATGAAAAGTGTTTTAAGCGACGCTGGACATCCTCATGCTATGTGATGACCTCCAGCGTTGCCAAAATCCCCATATGAAAGCATTGAATAATGGCCGCGCATGCGCATTAGGTCTCCCGACGGCTGACGTCCGCGGGGGAGGAGAGTAGGCAGAGCCTGACCCAGCGCCGAGGGACATCGGCGCTGGACTCCGGTAAGGCACTGAATGGGTTTTAACCCCTTCAGCAACTTGGGATGGGGGGATGGAGGGAGAGGGGCACTGCAGTGTTCTGCAGTGCCAGGAAAACTAATATATTTTCCTGGCACTGGAGAGTCCATTTAAGCATTGTTTTTATAGATATTGAATTGGACTGAGCAGGGCATAGGCTATTAAAAGTAATTCCGTAAGGTGGGCCTTCAAGGTAGGGTTGCCGTATCCAGCGTGTTTTCCTGGATAATTTTATCATGCTGATTGACAGAAATTGGAATGTTGCCCTGTATTATGGATAATGTGTATGCTGTAATGCTCCTGATTGATTTATCACCAGATTTACTACCTGCAGCATTTTACTTCTACATACTGCAGGACAGACCTTTCTGTATGTTGCCCACCAATCTGTATAAATGGTGGATATGGAGTCCCTACTTAAAGGGATTGTCTATGTTAGACAGTAATGACATAAATAATGTATTAAAAATAATGCAAAAAGAAAACGTTTAAACAAATAAAAAGATGCTTACCTTGAAAGATCCCAGAATGCACTGCTCAGTGTGTCCAGTCTGAGACCCTCAAATCGAGATCTGTTCTAAGAGGCCTGGGCTTATATCATGAATTCCTATCTATAAGAGGTTTAAGGGATATATGTAGTTTATCCTCCCCTCCCCCCCAATCCCACCCAGCCCTCCCCCCACGCAGTTCCAATCGTCGCACAGGATGATTGGAACTGCATTATAAACTGATAGCAGCCATATTGTACATGGAGTGACTCCCCGTTTAGTGTACAGGGCTGTGTATTCCTATACACTTCTCCAGGCTCAGTACAGGTCTAAGTGCATAATGTAGCCTTACTACATATTGTGAATGTATGCTGCATGTGCAATATGGACAACATTGATACAAGACAATCTGGAAGTAAATGTTGCAACTGCCTGATTAACAGTCCTGGAGGGCTGTCTTAAAGCAGGAGTGATTTTTTGTTTGCAATTTACTGCCTCTATGGCTTAGTTACAGAATAGAGAGTTGGCTCAAGAAATTTTAAGCACCTTTGATTTTGCAGAAATGCCAGTGGTTATGTGCAGAGACTGACCATATCACAACTCACTGTTTAATGAATAAACCACTAAATCTAACCGTGCCAGGTAGCTGTTTCTTTACCTGTGAGCTGCAGATGAGACGCGAAGCTACTTCATTACCAGTGTAATTACAGAGGGGACTGATGGCATTTAAAGTGATTCTATAGTGTTAGGAATTCAAATCTGGTTCCCCCCTTCCCACAAGGGTTAAAAACCATTTATTTACTTACCCGGTTCCAGCATTGATATCCCTCAGCATTGGGTCAGTGCTCTGCCTCATCCATTGTCAACTGACGGGGGGCTCATAATGCGCATGCGTGTCGAGCTCTGCGAGCGCTTTATGCCCTCCCCACAGGAAACAAAACATTGCCTCTATGCTTTCCTATGGGGATTTCAATGGCACTGGATGTTCTCATGCAGAGAGTAAGGACATCCTGTGTCATTTAGGCAACCTAAAGTCCGGGAAACTCCTGGAGGCGCCTCCACCAGACAGCCACTAGAGGCAGACTAGTACTGCAATATAAACATTGCAGTTTCTTAAAAACTGCAATGATTTACATTGCAGGGCTAAATGGCCACTTCAAAGCGCCTTTAGTGTCCCTTTTAATCTGAACTCAAGTAATTGCTCAGTAAACATTTGATAGGGAGGGTGGGGCCTCTGAGAGCCAGACGGAGTACCATGCACACTGGAGATTGGCTAACAGAAATCGCGGTGGTGAGACGTGCTAGTACACACACACCGGTCACAGATACACAGGACTGTACTTTTTCCAACCTTAACATCAAGCAAAAGGAGAGGAAAGTCGGTACAGTGTTACTGTAGGCACTGCGCTCCTGGAAAAAGCGATTTACTGTCCTGGCTAATGTGAGCATTTTTTTAACCCTTATTTAACAAAGTATAGTGTTTTTAGTATACTGATTCTTGCTTTTCAGATACAGCATTATTTACATTGCACACAGCAGAAATATAACATTTTTATCACGTGTAGCTTATTGGAGGTTTGGGCTGGCTGTTAAACTAACAACTTCCCATTCACAAAACAGCTTCAGATAAACACGTACAGTTTCTGAATGGGGAGCTACTGATAGGCTGGGAATGTCGGCTGATTGTCTCAGCCTATGAGCAGAGCCCAGACTGAGGCTTCCTATTTCAATCCTCGGACTCAAACAGATGTGTTCAGCGTGGGACAGAATACTTTGGGATTTAACCGTTTGTTAATGGTTTAACTCCTAAAGGTAAGTAAACTTCAGGGACCTGCTGACACCATAACAACTTCATTCAGATTATGTTATTATGGTGTCTGGAGTCTTCCATTTATTGGAGCACCCACCCCTGGCAGCACGTCATTCTTACTTCATACTTGTATTTCTGACACTAAAGTGCTGGATTGTTGATTTTACTTACCTTTTCTCCAAAGACGCGCCGGTCTTGCCATGTCTGGCCCCTTATGGCCCCCACAGGAAAGCATTGATAGGCTATTGTGCATGCACTGCAAAATACAGCCGGGCAGCAATCAGCATCTCCTTGTAGAGATACATTGAAACAATGCTCCTCTATGGGGATTAATCAGAGCTTCCATGCAGAACGTGGAGATGCTGAATGTCAGTACTGCACACTGTGCAGCACTGTCACAGAAAAGCACCTATAGTGGCCATCTGAGTGACAGCCATTAGAGGTGTTACTAGGCAGCTATGTAAACACTGCCTTTTCTGAAAGGGCGTTATGTACAGTGCTAAGACTGTAGGGACATGCTATAGAGCCATAACATTAAGTTTAGTGGTTCTGGTGACTATAGTGAGACTTTGAGATATAAATGAAGGTAGAACACTTCCTCAGTTGTATTTCTGACATTTTAAAAAACCCAGAGCTTTGTATAAATGTTCATGTTCTATAAGCAGCACTTGTAAAACACATGGGCACTCAGTTCCCCTGCAAATATCGCAAGGGAACACAGTTCCCATTGCAAAATAAAAAACCTGGATTAAAGATTGAAGACAGAATATGATGAGGCATGAAGGACAGGGGAGGGTAGAATTACAGAAAGTGGAGAGTGAGAGAATGCAGAGTAACACAAGACAGAGACAGAGGGAAAGAGAAATGGGTTGAATAGAAGAGGGTATGTAGATAAAAAGAAAACGGTGGGCTTAGAATAAAAAAAAAAAAAAACACATCATGATAGGGGTACGACCGAGTGAATAAAGGGTGACAGAGACTGAAGAGAGAGTCAATAAATAAGAGGAGAGTGACTGAGATGAGAGAGTTTGAAAGAGTCAGAGAGAGTGGATATAAAGTAAGAGACACATGCACACCACCATTGCGCCTTTTTTTCAGTCAAATTTCCTACGTCAGCCTTAATCTGAGCATCAATACACAGCAAAGAAATGGGAGTAAAAATACTGAGTAAGAGAGGGGTGCCCATAAGGTAGATCAGCAGATGTTTTAAAACTACAGCTTCCATGATGCTTTGTCATTCTAAAAGTATACAAAGCATCATGGGAGTTGTAGTTCTACATCTGGGCAGCAGTTAAACAGTAGGCATGCATAGTGAAGCATTTATTTGCTAAACAAACTGAAAACTGAATAGCTCGGCTATTTAACATTTGTGATTTAGTATGTATGACCCAGAGATCCAGAGTATATATGGATTAGGGAAGCCAGAGAGCAGACAGAGAGTCAGTATGGATACAGAGAAAAGAGTCCAAATGGAGAGTTAGAATGCGGGTGGAGAGAGAACTGGAGGAATAGGAGAATTGAAAGAATGAGATAAGTAAATGATAAAAGGAATGAGAGAGAGAAGAATGTACAGAATAAAGGAGATCGATAAACACACTAAAGCCTCCATTTAATATTTCTGGATAAGCCTTTTCAAACAATGTAATATTTCTAAACATTTAAAAAAATATGTTTTCAAAATATTTAAATATAAAACAATATATTTATATATATAAAAAATATTAATATATACATATATATAAAATTAGAAAATATAAAGCTTTCAATAGACCGAGTAAAGAGACAGACGTAGAACCGACTGGGTAAAGAGACAGACGTAGAACCGACTGGGTAAAGAGACAGACGTAGAACCAACTGGGTAAAGAGACAGACGTAGCACAGACTGAGTAAAGAGACAGACATAGTACAGACTGAGTAAAGAGACAGACGTGGTACAGACTGAGTAAAGAGACAGACGTGGTACAGACTGGGTAAACAGACAGACATAGTACAGACTGGGTAAAGAGAGACATAGTACAGATTGAGTAAAGAGACAGACATAGTACAGACTGGGTAAAGAGACAGACACAGTACAGACTGAGTAAAGAGACAGACGTGGTACAGGCTGAGTAAAGAGACAGACATGGTACAGACTGGGTAAAGAGACAGACGTGGTACAGATTGAGTAAAGAGACAGACATAGTACAGACTGGGTAAAGAGACAGACGTGGTACAGACTGAGTAAAGGTACAGACTGGGTAAAGAGACAGACATAGTACAGACTGAGTAAAAAGACAGACGTGGTACAGACTGAGTATAGAGACAGACGTGGTACAGACTGAGTAAAGAGACAGACATAGCACAGACTGAGTAAAGAGACAGACGTGATACAGACCGAGTAAAGAGACAGACAGTACAGACTGAGTAAAGAGACAGACATAATACAGATTGGGTAAAGAGACAGACATAGTACAGACTGAGTAAAGAGACAGAAGTGGTACAGACTGAGTAAAGAGACAGAAGCGGTACAGACTGAGTAAAGAGACAGAAGTGGTACAGACTGAGTAAAGAGACAGAAGTGGTACAGACTGGGTAAAGAGACAGAAGTGGTACAGACGGAGTAAAGAGACAGACATAGTACAGATTGGGTAAAGAGACAGCGTAGAGAGCGATTTTTATTTTGTATAACATTTTATCAGGAATTAAATCTGGGGGGAATAAATAAGCGATGGGAACAGATTATTCAGAGAGAAGGGAGTGCATGAGATAATTAAACAGAAAAATGGTAGAGAAAGAGACATATAGTAGAGAGACAGCGTAGAGAGCGATTTTTATTTTGTATAACATTTTATCAGGAATTAAATCTTCTAATCGCACAGTATTAAAAGCTACAGCAAGATTTCAAATCCAAGTTGAAATAGCCCAAATGGGAAAATTCTTTGACCTTCATTTAAAATTCACTTTGAATTCTCAATTTAGTAAATAACCCTTAATACGATTTGTCAAAATCTTAAGTAACATGATCGGAATGCCAATGGGTAATAAAATATTTACAAAAGCGAACATTTGCAAACAGCGACAAGATTGTAGGATTTTCCCAAATCCGTTATTTTAGCCTAAATTGTGCCATCCAATTTTTTGAGTTCGGTTAAATTTGGAATTTAGCGAATAATCTCCCTCGACGAGTTGGAGAGCTGTGAACATCGGTAATTAGAAAGGTCAGGCTGCCAACATAGAGGTCTAGCTCAGGATATTCAAATAAATGGGGTTTCACTTAATTCTCAACAGAAGGGAATTGCAATTCAAATTCCCAAAAAGCACCGCTGTGACTATAACTGGGGAGGAAAATATTTACAAATCTTTTATTATGGCCTTAATACTGAAAATTGGATTTCCATATACTAATATTCAGATTTTAGGGAATATCTCCTTAAGGTCACAATTGTAGTAAATTGAAATCCACAAGACAAAATTCAGGCGAAAACCAGCTGATTTGAAATGTATTTTTCAATCCAGATATCGTCACGTTTGTAAAGCTAAAGCAGTTGACAATATAGGAGTAAATTTTCCAAACTCTGGATTGTGAACTGATATGAGAATGGCAATATTTATTCACAATAATATCCGGTCTGGGAAAATGATCTAAAAAACTATTTCCTGTTTTACCTAAAATGTACAATTTGGGTTTCAATGATCTGTTGCTCAGAGAGACAATTTCGGCAGATTTATGACTACAGAGCAACTACCGAATAGCTGCTGATCTGGAGAAGATCTATGCAATTCTATTTAATTCCAAGATCTGCTTCCTTATAGAATTCAGGAAACATCTGTTAGGGCAATCAAGAGTTAAACAATGTATACAGCGATTACAAGATATAATTATAATAAAGCTAATAGCCCAGGCCCATTGCTGTATCCTACTAATCCATGATCTGCTGAGCAGGGGCACAGGGCACAGGGCAGAGGGGTCTGATTAGGGGTTCTCACCTTTCTGGAGGGGTAGGACTCAGTACAGTCCATATCAGGCATGTCTGCGGTGTGCTCTGCTACTCTCTCTGTTAGATCCAGCAATATATACCCTCTGTCTGCATCAAACCCACCCAGCATTGTCACCCAACATCAAAAGCCTGGGGGGAGGGGAGGTTCCCACGTGTACCCATTTGGCCAGCATGTGTCTCTGTGTCAATGGGAAGGAAGTACAACTGGTAAATGAGGGGTAGGGAGGGGTTACTGAGTTTTCAGAAAGTATTTTATAAAACATTGCTACTTATTGCTAGATAGATAGATAGATTATAATACATAGCTACTTATAGATAGATAGATAGATAGATTATAATACATAGCTACTTATAGATAGATAGATAGATAGATAGATAGATAGATAGATAGATTATAATACATAGCTACTGATAGATAGATTATAATACATAGCTACTGATAGATAGATAGATAGATAGATAGATAGATAGATAGATAGATAGATAGATAGATAGATAATACATAGCTACTTATTGCTAGATAGATAGATAGATTATAATACATAGCTACTTATAGATAGATAGATTGATAGATAGATAGATAGATAGATAGATAGATAGATAGATAGATAGATAGATTATAATACATAGCTACTTATAGATAGATTGATAGATAGATAGATAATACATAGCTACTTATTGCTAGATAGATAGATAGATAGATAGATAGATAGATAGATAGATTATAATACATAGCTACTTATTGATAGATAGATAGATTATAATACATAGCTTCTTATTAATAGATAGATGGGTGGGTGGGTGGATAGATAGACAGACAGAGATTATAATAGCTGCCTATTTATAGATATATTATAATACATTTTTACTTGTTGATACAGTTATAATATAATACATCGCTGCTGGGCTGACACAGTTATAACTCTGCAGTTAGATCATACATTGCTGCAGTAGTACAGTTATCGGAAACATTTCTGAATAAAATACTGTAACACATTATTACCGAGCTGTATGATACAGATAGCTCAGAGTGAGTTACCGATAGCTCAGAGTTACCGATAGCTCAGTTACCGATCTCTATGATACACATTGCACAGTTACCGATAGCTCAGAGTGAGTTACCGATAGCTCACAGTTACCGATCTCTATGATACACATTGCAGTTACCGATAGCTCACAGTTACCGATAGCTCAGAGTTACCGATCTCTATGATACACATTGTACAGTTACCGATAGCTCAGAGTGAGTTACCGATAGCTCACAGTTACCGATAGCTCACAGTTCCCGATCTCTATGATACACATTGCACAGTTACCGATAGCTCAGAGTTACCGATAGCTCAGAGTTACCGATCTCTATGATATACAGTAAGTACCCCTGTTACGTTCTCCTGGCGCTAGACTAGACAGAGTGAGTGGAGACCGCAGCAGGCAGTACGTACACAGCTCCTGTGCCATCACCCCCAGATCCCAATCACAAGTCTCTGCACCAAGTCATGGATGAGACACTTCCACAATATTAAAGTTACCGATTTCGGTCCCGTTTTCACAGCGTTTCATGTTTTTTCCTTCGTTTTAAATAACAATGAGTTAATATTAACTGTTATATTATTATTTCCTATTGTGTCTGTATAACATGGAATCGATAAATACTGTATTAAGGAATACTCTGTAATTTTAATAAAATGTGTCCGGCTGATGATTTAATGTTACCACTAAGTAATCATTTGGGAAGTTATTTGTTGAAAAATGACATTTCTAACAGTAACAAAAAATGCGACTCTGGTGGGACTCGAACCCACAACCTTTGAATATCTTCTTATTCAACTAGAAGTCCAATGCGCTATCCATTGCGCCACAGAGCCACCTGCTGTCAATCAGCTTCAGCAATTCTATGTGGTGTGTAGTGACGTGATCACTTTTAATGTTTATTTTATTTTTAATATACACAAAATATATCTCTTACTTCCTTCTCCAGGGGTATATTCACTAAACACTTTATCATAGTGAATTTTTTTAACAAATGAAAACAAATAATATTGAAATAAAAGCAATATTGAAATAGCCAACTTGTGTCTATAGCAGAGTTGGTATATTTTTCCGAATTATTACTTTAGTTCAGTCATGTCCCATAAAGTGTGATTATAGATTACGGCAACACTTTAATATGTATGTTAAAATATTTATTTTTAATGTCCGAGTGTTCCATTTTTAGTGTAGATTACTGGGCCTGAGATATCTTAGCCAGTAGCCACATCGGGTTTACTTATTTACTAAAGGTGAATGTAGCAGAACTCGGCAAATAGTCATCTATGCTTTCACTTTGGCTACTCTGGGCTAAAATACGAATTTGCCTTTGAATTTCTTTGAAATTCTCCCTTCAATAAATAACCCTGTATGTGTGATAACATAGAATGTGATGGCTCTAGTGTGTTTACAGCCAAATGGAAATATTGCCATTTCTCAGAAACGGCAATGTTTAACACTGTGCAAGAAAATGGGTGGCATAAACACACCAAAACTACTGCATTAAAATGTCATCGTTTTGGTGGTTAGATTGTCCATTTTAAAAAAAACACTCCAAGAACCATAACTACAGCCTGCTGTAGTGCTTATAGTGCCATGAATGCCCTGGCACCCTTCCAAAATATTGTGTCACAGCTTTTAGAAAAGTTTGCCAACTTACTTGGGTCCCCCTAGCGCTGGCGCCACATCCGGTATTCTCCTTTTGGAGAAGCCAGGTGACTTCAACTGTTATCCAACTGTTCTTAAAGGGACACTCCAGGCACCAAAACAACTTCATCTAACTAAAGTGTTATGGTGCCAGGGGGCACCTAGAGGTATTCTTACCTCAAGGGGCAAGGGGTTAAACTGTTCTTGAATTGTTTAACCCCCAAGGTGGACTCCAGTTGAGCTGCTGACCCCCCACCCGGCTTCTGAAGGCTGGGGCGTCTGTGCTTGGCTGAGAGCGGTCAACTGATGCTCTCAGCCAATCAGTAACTCCCCATTGACTAAACTGGCTTGGAAAAGGTACGTTTCTTTCCAAGCCAATTTATTGAATGTGGAGCCACTGATTGTCTGTAAGCGTCAGCTGACCGCTCTCAGACAATCAGTGGCGCCACTACCCGGCGGCCATCTGGAGGGGAGTGAGCATCGCTGCTGGAGGCCACTTTAGGATTAAACTGTTCAAAAAGTGTGTATCCAGGGGCCTCCTGGCACCATAAAAACTTCATTCAGATGAAGTTGTTTTGGCGCCTGAAGTGTCCCTTAAAATGGTTTGACAAATTACTCTTGATGGCTGCCTGGTACCATAACTGCTACAGCAGTTTCCGTGATTATGTTGCTTGGAGCGTCCATGTAAAACGATGCATTTATAGAGTGTATTTACATGGTGCAACATGTTGTATTGCAGTTAGCACAGAACACAAATGGTGTGATTAACCAAGTGTGATAAACTGGGAAATGGCGTACAATGGGTCAGCCGCTGCGCAGTGCCTACTAACTCATGGCATGATGCCATTTTGCAAGCGGGATATTAGTGATTTTATTTTACAATGTTATAGTAAAGGAATGAGGGCAATAAACACCACCAGCATGCCGTCTTAGTAATTAGCAGGTTTTCAGTCACAACAAAAGGCATTGGAGTGTGTCTGCAAAGTGTGTCACAGACAAAAGTTACAATGTTTAGGGTTTGGCTCCTGCCCTTTCATTCCCAATTGTTATGTTAGTGTCACTTTAACACCTACCCAATCCCTGCATTGTTAGTCACTTTACCAAAAGACTGTGCAGGTGACAAGGACAGTGACTCCCACTTTAGCCCAAATCCACAGCTTAGCTACCTCCTCCCCTGATCTGTCTTACAGACTCAGGCTATGGGATATGGATCTATAAACTAATATATAAGGCTGGTAAATCCCTCTGTTACAAGCAGGGGGCGCTAGACTAGACAGAGTGAGTGGAGACTGCAGCAGGCAGTACGTACACAGCTCCTGTGCCATCACCCCCAGATCCCAATCACAAGTCTCTGCACCAAGTCATGGATGAGACACTTCCCTGCTGGTTATGTGACTGGGATAGCCTGGCTCCTACAGTGATGGAAGGAGGAAGAAAAGGCTCAGGAATTCTACAGGAAGATGGTCTATAAACAGCAATTTACATAACAAGGTCTACTGCAGGTCACATTCACATCAAACACTGGAAGTGTGTCCAGTCACATTGTTTATGGTGTGGCCACTGCCCATAATTTCTAATTGTTCTTTTATTGCCACTTACATTAACTTCTACCTTATCCCTGGGGTGTCAGACACACTTACAGGGAGGGACACAGGCTGCTACCTACCTTACTCACATCCTCAGTATCTGCCCCAAACCTTCCTCTGTATTAAACATCATTCTAACAAAGCACGTTAGTGATGAACGTGGATTATTCATAGTAATGATAAAATACAGCTTTTATTCATGTTTTGGCAAGTCTGGTATTTTTACTGTTTGAGGTAATGAGTAGTAACTTGGGAAACTTGTCACATTACAGCTGCACATATCTGTTGTTTCTATTGCCAGGACTGCTCTGACTAAATCAGGACGCTTGGCAGGTGTGTCTAACGTAAAGAGTTTATAATAAGAAAATACTGGGTGTTACTTAAACCATCATTTCCTCTGCATTACTGAAATGAGAAGGTGCCAAGTTCAGCGACTCAAGGCAACTTTCAATAGACTAGGGATAGGCAACCTTTGGCACTCCAGATGTTGTGAACTACCTCCTCCCATAATGCTTTTACACCCATAATGTTGTCAAAGCATCATGGGAGGTGTAGTCCAAAACATGTGGAGTGCCAAAGGTTGCCTATGCCTGGACTAGAGTCTCCGCATGTTAAATTTGGGAAAGTCCAGCTGTAATCAGACCTGTCACCTCTCTGTATATTATGAACAATCTGTGCAGCTTTACATGCAGAGAACATGTGTGTAATGTGTACATGTCATTGGCTTGTGTTCCAGTGTGAAGGACCCACATATTGTCTGTAAAAAGCACAGAATTAGGGAAGAATTGAATCCACCTCCCCAACGTTTCTAGGATTCCTATAGAATTCTCATCCCTACTGCCCTCTCGCTGGGTGGTCAATACTATAGTCGAATTTTCGGCTGACATTGTTGCATGATTGTGATACATTGTTTCAGTGCTGACTTTCACCACCTTGTGAGTGGCTCGCCGTGATCGTATAGTGGTTAGTACTCTGCGTTGTGGCCGCAGCAACCCCGGTTCGAATCCGGGTCACGGCATTTTTAATTTTTTTTAAAGTGACATTAAAATGGAATTTTAATATTTATAACGGTAATCTAAGCAAATATAGCTCTTCATTTATTCACATTTTGTTCGTAAACCAACAGCAGCTGTTAAGGAGAGATACAAGAAATAGGGATGTGTGAATTTAATGGTTTATGCTTATTGATAAGTCTGGAACTTAACTCACTTTACAGAGAATATGTTACAATATCCCTAGTGCAGCAAAATAGATTTTAAATAAAACATGCACTTTTACTTTTCAAACAATAAGAAAAAATAACGCCCAACGTGGGGCTCGAACCCACGACCCTGAGATTAAGAGTCTCATGCTCTACCGACTGAGCTAGCCGGGCTGGTGCCATCTGAGTTTGAAACTGTCTAAAATATGGTTAACAAGTCGTGTTGACTTGAAGACAGTTGGTTATATTGGGTGCTGGATTTTTTTTGACTATTACTATAATTATTATGATGTTATTTATATAGCGCCATCAAATTCCGCCGCGCTTTACAATGGGTGGACGAACAGACATGTAGTTGTAACCAGAAGTTGGACACACAGGAACAGAGTGGTTGAGGGCCCTGCTCAATGAGCTTACATGCTAGAGGGAGTGGGGTAAAATGACACAAAGGGTAAGGGTAGACTAGCAGTAACCATAAACCACTTCTCATGGGAGAAGATCAAGAGTACAGAAAGCATTACACAGCTCTTGGTGTAGAAGGAGTTTATTGAAAATCCTCCTGTACATCCTGGAATTATGTATGAAAACATTTGAAAAGGAAAAAAATAAAAAATAAATACAGGAAGTTTAAATGTGATTTAAACAAAGTACTTTCAAATATCATACTTCAAAATGTATCACATGTCACTTTAGAAAAAATTATGCAGTTCCAATACTTTATTACAACGACGCACCCAAATATTAAACAACCTAGATGCCATTAAATGCAGATACTGACGTTTAATTTTTTTTTTTTTTTAATTCTTTATTTTTGTGGTGCAATTGTTTAACACATACTCTTGCAATGCCCCAAAAGCAGTGACAAGGATTGTACGGCACATACATTAACAAATATAAGGCATATGATATTACTCCACACTTTTTTTTTTTTTTTTAGTAGCAAGATTACAGGCTAGTCTAACATGTTCGAGGCATATATTGAAACAGATTATGTGATCAATGTGGACTATCTGGACAAGTGAGTGGTAATATGAAATCTAGTTAAATAACATGCTTATGAGACAGGAGCACATCAAAGTGAAAGATGAGCGAATAGGTTGCCAGGTCGGCCCATTTGTCTACATTAGGTTATTAGGTAACAGGCTATCTGTACATATAGCTAGAAGTAATTAAATGTGCCACCCATTAACATATATTGGGCTAGATTAGACATAATCTGAGTAACTGGCACAACTGGGTTTTTGCAATACTAGTGTAAATTACATGTAAAGAAAACCCACCACGACCTGACTCTTAATCACATGACTTCACTACACAGTTGGAAATAATAATAAAAATGCAAACAGGAATGAAATTTTTCTGGTCTTCATAATGTGAGGGCAAACCGTGGCTCAAAAACAAGTGGTGTAGGTGGGTTTGTAAAGAGTTTCCACCCAGAGCCTGCTGTATGCCTCAGGAGGGAAGTCCAGTGTCAGACGACCCCCGTGCTCGGGAGTGTTTGGTCACTAGGGAGTGCCACCGGGAAGGTATTGCATGAGTGTCTCAATGAAGGGCTCGTGCGCTTGTGTCCCCATGGGTCTCCAGTGCGGTATGCACCATTTTGGACGAGCGATTGAGACCCTGACTAGGCCCTGATAGGTCGCGGATTTTGCTCTCAGATTCCTGGGCCCTGGATGTTGTGTTGAGCATTGTTTCCTTGGCTTTTGTCGTGCATGATGTTGGTTCTCTGCTTAATCCGCTATCTCTGGACTTTGGAGGGCAGGATGGGCTGGTGCATGCGCTTTTGTGGAGTTCGTACCTCCGAGGTCTGTGAGTATTTCAGGTGAGTATGCTGTTGCCTAGCTTCGAGTTTTGCCCAGAATTTGGCAAATATGCTGTCCAGTTGGCTCATGGTGGTGATGAAGTAGTGCTTTTTTTTTTTCTAAACAGCCAAAATAACAAAACTTGTGTCCATGTTGAAATATTTCCGAAACTAACTGTATATTATAGTACATGCAAAACCAAAAGAGAGAAAAAAAAATCTACAAATATATACCTTACAGAGGTGACCAGGGTCACCGAGACAACACCCAATGTTTCAACTATAAGGCCTTTCTCAAGGGTGAGAGTAAACCAGTTAGCAGGATTGCAGAATTCATCACCCACAGACTCCAGATACCATAACTATTTAAATCCATGAAACTGTTTTTTGTGCCTTCATTCCTCACATAGGGTTGGTGAATGAGGTCAAGCAAATCCATGGTTCCTGGACCTGAAGAATGAAAGTGTCCTTCCAATTGCATGTGGATTTTTGTGCGAGTTTGAAGGGGAGAACATCATGACTAGCTCTATATAAACCTGGTTCCGATTGCAAAAATAAATACGTTTTGCGCCTGTTTCTTATTAATATTTATGAAGGACAATAGTGATATAGTGGAAAAGATCATCAAAGTTATAGCAAAAAAATATCTAACAAACTTTAGTAATAAGTTAGCATGACTGAGATGTTTATTTACTAAAACAGCAGACTGTAAGGCATTGAAAATCATTGCAAAATTAGATGATTTGGGAAAAAACAATCTCCAACTCCCCTATGGTTACAGCTTGGGTATTTTTTGCCAAAAATCAGAAATTACCTTCCAAGTCATTAAAATTCAGAGGTTGATGAGTAAATCTCATGTTTATATGCCTGCGTGTTTCTGTGTGATTGTCTGTCACTGTGTCAGCATGTCATTGTGTCTGTGTATGACTGCAAAAGTGTTAATGTTTATGGGAAAGTGATTTCATTACAAATAACATAATGTTTATATTCATTTTTAATTGAGGCACTGGGTTTGAGTAGGGTGAACTAGGGATGTCATCAGTGGTTGAAATAATGTAGAGAAGGCACTGGTGCAATAATTTCTATTTGTGCCTCCCTCTAGTGCAAGGGGGGCCAAAAGGTAGATCCTCCATTGTGATGCAACTTCCATTCTGCATTGCCAGCTGGGGATCTACTATTTGCCCATCCTTGCACTGTTATATTTCTGAGTAGTGTTTGTGTTTTTGGATATAAGCACGTTTTTGTGTGTGTGGATGCAGGAGTGTATTTGTATGTACTGTTGCCATTTGAATGCAGCGATGTGTTTGTATGTAATGTTGGCATTCAAATGCAGGTGTGCATTTGTATATACTGTTAGTGTTTAAATGCAGTTGTGTTTTTGTGTGTATTGTTGGCGTTTGAATGCAGGGATGTGTTGTATTTAGTATTGGCATGTGAATTCAGGTTTACATTTGTCTAGTATTGGAGTTTGAATTTGGGGTGTGTTTCTATGTAGTATTGGCGTTTGACTGCAGGGGTGTATTTGTGTATAGTTCTCATGGTGAATTGCAGTAATGTATGGATATATACACCTACACACTGACACACAATAACACACATATTCTGACACAGACACAGACACATACACACGGACAGATACACTCACATTATGACACAAATACACATACACACTTGCACACACACAGATACACATTAACAGAGAGATACACACACATTCTGACACATACACGCATACACAATGACAAACATATTATAGAACTATAGAATTTGATGGCACTAATAACCATTTGGCCCATCTAGACTGCCCACGTTTTTAAATACTTTCATTAGTCTGAACAGAAGAACATAATTTTTTTATTATTCAAAGCTGTTTATTGGGCATTTGACATAATATTTAGCATGCAGAATCAGATTTTCTGGGTGTGGGACATGCAGGTCCCGGTCATTTGGGTATTGCGAGCATTATTTATCAGGAATGTAACAAAACGTTTGTTCGTATTAGTAAAAGAAGCATAACATAAGACAAGAAATAACTTTAATGCCTTTGTGTTTTGTAAGTCCGTTTTCAGTTGGGTGAACACCTAGGACCATTTTCAGTGTTAGGTATTTAAGTTAGTTGCCAATCAGTCCTACTGTCTGGGGATGGGGTACGCTGGTCCTGTATACGTGGGTGTTGCGAACTATAGAAGAACATTATTTTTGCAGCAGTTTTGTGTGTTCACCAGCTTCACTTCTCTTAGCACGCATGATCTTTGGGGATCTAGCTATCTTCCCAACACTAAGTTCTCATTCCCACAGTTTACAAAATCACAGTGAGGGCTTAATGAATGAACTCAAGAGGCAGCAATTGCCCAGTGCAACTGCCTTGCAGAGACTTCTTACAAAGCTGCATTGGGAAGTTTGTGATTGGACAGCCACAGAATGTCTGGGAGGTGATAGAAGGGGAGGTCTTGTGAAGGCTGCAGACAATAAATCTGCAGCTTATACCATCTGTTTTTAGATAAACCCCCAATGAATATATCCAAACTGGAAAACTTGACTCAGTCAGCTATGTGACCGAGCTCAGTACTCAATCTGAGTATCTCTGCCAACCTTCCTCCTTTTCCCACAGAATATTTGAATGATTATAGCAGCTCATCGAAACTTCAGCCGAGATTTGATGAAGGATGAAACTGAATACACTTTATTCAACCAACTCATATTTATACACAACCAAATATAAAGCTCCTGTATAAAATATGTGCTCCTAAGGACTACATGCTGTATATTTTATTCTTTCTAATATTAAGACGCTCCCCTATGTGAAGCAGCCCACGCTGATCTTTTTTTTCATTGTGTGTGAAAAAACACTATTTACAGTTGTTTATTTTTATATACAACCAATGTGTTTTAAACTGATGAGGGTGATTCATGTAATACAATACAGTTCCCTCCCTGACACTACTCTGTCTGGGCTGATAAGACTTAATAAGGTCAGTTCAGAATGAATTATGTTTCCCCTCCTGCTGTGTCCTATTTATACAGGGGCGGCAGGTAATATGAGTCATAAAACTCCTTTTTCACAAAATGTAACAATACATATCCCCAGATAGCTGGAAGGTCAGCTATCCACTATCCAAAGAGCACTGGGATCGATGGTACACTGCCTAAGTTACAGTACTTTAAAGAACAATTGTGTTGTGGACATCCTCCAATCTAGCACAGCATTCCAGGTACATTTGTGGCTGCTCCCAGTCAAGAGCCAAGATGTTCAACAATACCCCAGGAAAGTGGCGCCTCCAACTCCAGGGTATCCTCAAATGCCTCCTCACCTCCCATCATCATCCCTGAAGAGCTCTGTAAATGGTTGTTCAGGGACCGAGCAACACCTTAATTTCGCTGGATTGCAGGACAGTTCAGATCCAGGAAATAGTTCCATATCAATTTCTGGTCAGGTGCTCTGGAGGCAAGTAGATCCTGGTGATACCCAGAGTTCAATGAGCTCTAGCCAGGGAGAGAACAAGGACCTGGACTCTGGAGCCCAACTATATCACCTTCACTCATTGACTATAACCCATCTGGATACATTCAAAAGGTTAAGGGACAAGGTCTAAAATCTGTGAGGAGGACACTGGCCCCCAAGTCCCTCCATGAGCCAGGGAACCAGAGTCTTTTCTCCCAAGCTGTACTTCCAGTTAGTTTGAACTTCCAATAACTGAAAATGCTCACTTTACTGAATATGTCCTTATCGCTCAGCTCTCTCATCCTTCCAGTTTGAGACAATCATTGCATCACTAGGGTTTAGCTCGCCGTGATCGTATAGTGGTTAGTACTCTGCGTTGTGGCCGCAGCAACCCCGGTTCGAATCTGGGTCACGGCATAATTTTTTTTCTCAAAATTGAAATATGTTTTTTTTTTTTTGCCACTTGTGTGCCGAGGGCTATCCCGGCACACGTGACTGAGGCAGACTCTGTTCTGTAGTGATCTGTTCTGGGCTGCCTAAAGTAAACTTTGTGCATATTTTGAATCTGTTGTCACCGCGCACAGCGTGCTGTCGACTGCAGTAAATGCTTCTCAGTTGCAGGGAGAGCATGCAAGGGAAGCTTGTTCTCCACTTCTCCGCTCCCTCTTTACATTCATTAAACCCTTCCTGCTTCTTCGGCTTACCACATTTTATTTTGTTCTTAATTTTTTTATTATTGGCCTCCCCTGTCCACCCTCTCCCTCCACTCGCACGCACGAGAAGCCTGTGATTGGATGGCATGAGGCCCCCTTTAATGTCAGATGGAGGTCTGCGCCGGGCGCTTCACCCAACGCTGAATTGTGGGTAAGTTTGTACTTGTTTTATTTACAGCTTTTCATTTGGTTGGGGGTTGGGGGTTACCAATGCCCAATACGGCATTTTAGGTTAAAAAAAAGCCTAATTATGAAGAATGTTACAGTAAACCTTTAAACTGTAGTGGCTCTGGTTGTTAGATGTTTAGAGTTTAAGGGATTAACTTAACCAAAGATATTGAAATTATATATTCACTTTCACTCATCCTTTTATTCTAATGTAAGTAGATACACTTCATGTGAGTTGCTCGCCGTGATCATATAGTGGTTAGTACTCTGTGTTGCGCCCATTGCTGGTATAAATTGGCTAAAAAGAAGTGTAGAGTCTTTGCCCTAGCCATACATCCTGTGGGTGGCCAGGGACCCTTATTTAGTGTTAAACTGTGCAAAAATGGTTAAACAATTATTGGAGACTGCACCAGAGAACTCCAGGCATTTCAATTACATTAAATTATTGTAGTTAAAGGAATGGAGGTGAAGGGGGGGTGCTTGATTAAAGGGGTACCCCAGACTCCTAAAGCACTTTAGCTTGCTGAAGTGCTTTATGTGTGAATAGTGTTTTCTATTTTATTTTACAAAAAGTTCAGATTTCAATAGAAATTGAAATTGGCTCCATAGCTATCAATTAGACAACCGGTCCTGTTACACTCTGGTTTGGTTCGTTCAATGGAGCTAAACTCAAGAGACAGCAATTGCCCAGTGCAACAGCCTTGCAGAGACTTCTTACAGAGCTGCACTGGGAAGTTTGTGATTGGACAGCCACAGAATGTCTGGGT